AACAATACCTCATCACATTTGATTAATAAATAATGATTTAGAATATTAACATGCAATAACTAAGAATCAACCATCGTTCTTGTACATATCCACCATTGTTCTTGTACATATCCACCATTGTTCTTGTACATATCAACCATTGTTCTTGTACATCTCCACCATTGTTCTTGTACATATCAACCATTGTTCTTGCACATACTAACCATTGTTCTTGTACATATAAACCATTGTTCTTGCACATACCAACCATTGTTCTTGTACATATCAACAATTGTTCTTGTACATATCAACCATTGTTCTTGTACATACAAACCATTGTTCTTGTATATACCAACCATTGTTCTTGTACATCCCAGCCATTGTTCTTGTACATATCAACCATTATTCTTGTACATTTGTTTTTGTGCATACAAACCATTGTTCTTGTATCTATGGAACAGAAATATCGAATCCTCTCGTAACAGAACGTACGCCAATAAAGACATGTAAACCGTATGAGACCAGCATGGATGAAGTGGTTACGAATTATATCGATACTATCAAGAGGTAAATATGAAGGGAACAAATGCTGTTGAGTTCATTGACATTTGTCACCCCACAAAACAACAACAACAACAAAAAATTATAGAAATTTGAAAGTAAATCTGATTCCCATCCAGGTTTTTATCTCAATGTCGATGGGTTTCTTTTCTTTATAGAGTTAAAAAAGTGTACTATAAATAAAAAAAATAAAAAAAATAAATAAAAATACATTATTGGGTAACCTATTGGAAGTTGACTCCAGATTATGAAATCCTGGTCTTAGAAAAAATCATAGACAATTCATAGACGCTACACAGCCTCGGCGTGTCCAATATTTGTGTCAGCTTGACATCATCAAGAGGTCAGCTCTTAGAAGTAGAATGCACACATTTCTAGCGTTGAAAAGTAAATGGATTGAAGTCCGTGATCCCAAAATATATCCAGGGATATAATAACAATAGGTCAAAGGGTAGGAACGTCAACTCATAAAAACTGAATGAGGGTTCAAATGAGAACATGACTAAATATCAGTGGCGTGCGTGGGTTAAGGGACGCCCAGGGCAGACCAAGATTGTTGCCGCACCATCCACGAAAAGAATCTTAAGCAGTTGGCCGAAAATGCCGCCACTCCATAATAAAGATAAAAAGTGCCACCCAAGGTTGACCACCCCTCACCGCCCCCATCATACGTTACTGCTAGATACGCCTCTGAAGAAAGGCATACAACTTGTCAACTATGTCGTGTAGGGCTGGGCTATGGTACTGTTTCATCGGTTGGTGTCTATTGGTGCGTAGGGTGATGTTTAAAAGTGCACATTATAACTACCACGGACTTAAAAAGTCAGAGGTCACGCGTGAAATAAATAGCAGTAATGATTTTTTTTAGACTCACGCAATGGAACATACTTCAAGGAATGGAACCAACCTGCCACCCATTTAGCCGATTGGCATTTTGCCGTCAAAGATTTAGAAATTATTTAAAAATAAAAGTGATAATATAAAAAAAACAGGGTTGGCCATATAAAACCGGTGTGTCTCAGTAAGGACCTAATCCTAAGTAAAGAGTGTCAGTTTGCAGCGATGGTTATGTATGTGGCTCCCCCTGGATGGTTATGTATGTGGCTCCCCCTGGATGGTTATGTTACACAATATAGCGAGCGTAGACGGCCTATTTGGCTCGTCCTGTATGATTATGTAAGAAATATAGCGAGTGTAGACGGCCTATGTGGCTCGCCCTGTATAGTTATGTAAGACAATATAGTGAGCGTGGACGGCCAATGTGGCTCGCCCTGTGCAGATCAGAGCTTGGTGACACGAGTCATCACTGGATGAAATAACGTTTGGAATGTATAATTTTTTCAAATTAGTAAAGATACAATTTTTTTTTCTCTTCAAAAGTTCTCCTCACAGAAGAGCCCTCTTTCTGTAACCACAAAAAAATTGTTTATTTTTAGACAGACATGATAATTTCCCGAATTTAACTAAGGAAAAAATGCTCACCTTGCATACGATTCACATTATTATATTTTTTAAATCGTTATTTAAATGAGCTCTAATTTTGAGACTCAGCGTTTTCAAACTGTCAACGAATTATGTAGAGAGTTTCACGTGTCAGGAAGCGTTCACACGTTTTATGAACTTGACAGTTCCCTGACCTGCATCTCTCTTCGTATTGATAAACACCAACCATCTTTTGACAGTTCCCTGACCTGCATCTCTTCTCGTAGTGATAAACACCAACCATCTTTTGACAGTTCCCTGACCTGCATCTCTCCTCGTAGTGATAAACACCAACCATCTTTTGACAGTTCCCTGACCTGCATCTCTCCTCGTAGTGATAAACACCAACCATCGTTTGACAGTTCCCTGACCTGCATCTCTCCTCGTAGTGATAAACACCAACCATCGTTTGACAGTTCCCTGACCTGCATCTCTCCTCGTAGTGATAAACACCAACCATCTATTTTCCAACTGTTGCCAACAGGAACAAGTTTGTCGTTGCCAAAGTGGCCTATCTAATCTTTGCTGCGTGTGTCATTCTGGTCTATGTGTACAGTCCCAACGGGAAACCACAGAAGCCTCCTCCACTTGGCTACTACAAGAATGCGGCAGTAGCGGCTGATACATCAGTGTGTTCGACAGTAGGAAAGTAAGAGTTGTGGGGGGGAATGGATAGATGGTGGAATGGATAGATGGTGGAATGGATAGATGGTGGAATGGATAGATGGTGGAATGGATAGATGGTGGAATGGATAGATGGTGGAATGGATAGATGGTGGAATGGATAGATGGTGGAATGGATAGATGGTGGAATGGATAGATGGTGGAATGGATAGATGGTGGAATGGATAGATGGTGGAATGGATGAATGGAGGAATGCATAAATGGTGGAAAGGATAGATGGAGGAATGGATAGATAATGGAAGGGATAGATGTAGAATGGATAGCTGTTGTAATGGATAGAGGTGGAATGGACAGATGGTGGAATGGATAGATGGAGGAATGGATGAATGGAGGAATGCATAGATGGTGGAATGGATAGTTGGAGGAATGGATAGATGGTGGAATGGATAGATGGTGGAATGGATAGATGGTGGAATGGATAGATGGTGGAATTGATAGATGTGGAATGGATAGATGTTGGAATGATAGATGTTGGAATGGATAGAGGTGGAATGGACAGATGGTGGAATGGATAGATGGAGGAATGGATGAATGGAGGAATGCATAAATGGTGGAAAGGATAGATGGAGGAATGGATAGATAATTGAAGGGATAGATGTAGAATGGATAGCTGTTGTAATGGATAGAGGTGGAATGGACAGATGGTGGAATGGATAGATGGAGGAATGGATGAATGGAGGAATGCATAGATAGTGGAATGGATAGTTGGAGGAATGGATAGATGGTGGAATGGATAGATGGTGGAATGGATAGATGGTGGAATGGATAGATGGTGGAATGGATAGATGGTGGAATTGATAGATGTGGAATGGATAGATGTTGGAATGATAGATGTTGGAATGGATAGAGGTGGAATGGACAGATGGTGGAATGGATAGATGGAGGAATGGATGAATGGAGGAATGCATAGATGTTGGAATGGATAGAGGTGGAATGGAAATGTGGGAATGGATGAATGGAGGAATGCATAGATGGTGGAATGGATAGATGTGGAATGGATAGATGGTGGAATGGATAGATGTTGGAGTGGATAGATGGTTAAATGGATAGATGTGGGATGGGTAATGTTGGAATGGATAGATGGTGGAATGGATAGATGGAGGAATGCATAGATGGTGGAATGGATAGATGGTGGAATGGATAGATGGTGGAATGGATAGATGGAGGAATGGATAGATGGTGGAATGGATAGATGGTGGAATGAATAGATCGTGGAATGGATAAATGGTGGAATGGATAGATGGTGGAATGGATATATGTGGAATGGATAGATGTTGGAATGGATAGATGTTGGAATGGATAGATGGTGGAATGGATAGATGGAGGAATGATAGATGGTGGAATGGATGAATGGAGGAATCCATAGATGGTGGAATGGTGCATAACCTTGAGATGTCAGAATGATGTGCTTTATTTTGAAAAGTTGAAGTCATAAAACTTCGCCTTTCCCACTTGACATCCTGAAATATGACGTATGACGTATGGCGTATGACGTCTGACGTTTGACATATGACGTATGGTTCGCCTACAAAACTCTAACAATTAACGACTGATTTATTAAAAAAATCTGTGACAGTTGTAGGAATGACACAACCGTACTCAGACTAATCAATGATACGATATTTGTCATAATAGTCATTATTGTCCATTGTAAGATATTGTCATGATAGTCATTTTCCATTATAAGATAGTGTCATGTTAGTCATTGTCCATTATAAGATATTGTCATGTCAGTCATTGTCCATTATAAGATATTGTCATGTTAGTCATTGTCAATTATAAGATATTGTCATGTTAGTAATTGTCCATTGTAAGATATTGTCATATTAGTCATTGTCCATTATAAGATAGTGTCATGTTAGTCATTGTCCATTATAAGATATTGTCATGTCAGTCATTGTCCATTATAAGATATTGTCATGTTAGTCATTGTCCATTATAAGATCTTGTCATGTTAGTCATTGTCCATTGTAAGATATTGTAATGTTAGTCATTGTCCATTATAAGATAGTGTCATGTTAGTCATTGCCCATTGTAAGATATTGTCATGTTAGTCATTGTCCATTATAAGATATTGTCATGTTAGCCATTGTCCATTATAAGATACTATCATGTTAGTCATTGTCCATTGTAAGATATTGTGTTTTTTATTTATTTATGTATGTTTGTATGTAAGTATGAATTTTTGTATGTATGAATGTAAATTTGTATGTATGTATGTTTGTATATTTGTATGTATGTATGTTTGTATGTAAGTATATCAATGACGTTTTGTTTCTTCCCACAACTCAAACAGAAAGATGCTCCTTCAAGGTGGCAATGCTGTTGACGCGGCCATCGCTGCCCTTGTCTGTTCCGGTCTGACCAGTCCACAGTCTATGGGCATTGGAGGGGGCTTCTTCATGACCATATATAACAGGTCAGACCTTTCTTTCTGTGGGAATAGAATTTGGGTTCTTCATGACCATATATAACAGGTGAGACCTTTCTTTCTGTGGGAATAGAAGTTGGGTTCTTCATGGCCTAATATAACAGGTGAGACCTTTCTTTCTGTGGGAATAGAAATTGGGTTCTTCATGACCATATATATTAGGTGAGACCTTTCTTTCTGTGGGAATAGAAGTTGGGTTCTTCATGACCATATATAACAGGTGAGACCTTTCTTTCTGTGGGAATAGAAGTTGGGTTCTTCATGACCATATATAACAGATGAGACCTTTCTTTTTGTGGGAATAGAAGTTGGGTTCTTCATGACCATATATAACAAATGAGACCTTTCTTTTTGTGGGAATAGAAGTTGGGTTCTTCATGACCATATATAACAGGTGAGACCTTTCTTTCTGTGGGAATAGAAGTTGGGTTCTTCATGACCATATATAACAGGTGAGACCTTTCTTTCTATGGGAATAGAAGTTGGGTTCTTCATGACCATATATAACAGGTGAGACCTTTCTTTCTGTGGGAATAGAAGTTGGGTTCTTCATGACCATATATAACAGGTGATACCTTTCTTTTTGTGGGAATAGAAGTTGGGTTCTCCATGACCATATATAACAGGTGAGACCTTTCTTTCTGTGGGAATAGAAGTTGGGTTCTTCATGACCATATATAACAGGTGAGACCTTTCTTTCTGTGGGAATAGAAGTTGGGTTCTTCATGACCATATATAACAGGTGAGACCTTTCTTTCTGTGGGAATAGAAGTTGGGTTCTTCATGACCATATATAACATGTGAGACCTTTCTTTTTGTGGGAATAGAAGTTGGGTTCTTCATGGCCAAATATAACAGGTGAGACCTTTCTTTCTGTGGGCATAGAAGGGGGGGGGGTTTTTCATGACCATATATAACAGGTGAGACCTTTCTTCCTGTGGGCATGGGAGGGGGGGTTCTTGTTATTCAATACACTTTTATTTTAACTGTCATCATGTGAAAGACTAACGCGTGAGATACACTTAGTTGATGTCGATTTTTATAGCTATGTACCAGTATATCTATGTACCAATGTATCTTTGTACCAATGTACATATATAACTATGTACCAATGTACCAATGGACCAATATATCTATGTACCAATGTACCAATATATCTATGTACCAATGTACCAATGTACCTATTTATCTATGTACCAATGTACCAATGTACCTATATATATATGTGCTATGTACCAATGCACCTTTATACCTGCAATGTACCTATGTACATATATACCTATGAACCAATGTACCTAAATACCAATGTACCTATGCACCAGTTGAGACGTTTGGTCAATGGCACAAGGAAGTTCTAACTTCCCAAACATCAACTCTGTCAAGGTCAAGCGTCTCTTGGGTGCCAGGCGTACTACACGTTATAAGCGTAGGGATACAAAGGGAAAGGGGGGGTAGTTCGGTAGTTTGTGCAGTTGGTCAGTTGGTCAGTGGAGCAGGGAGAGCGAGTGGGGCAGGACGCGGACTGCATCAGTGTTAGTGTTATTGTTAGTTGGTGTTAGTAGTGTGCAAGTAGTAAATAGTAAAGTGTTGTGATCCATGTAGTATGTGTGGTTCTTTGGCTAAGCTTGTTAGCAGAACCCACATGACTAATGGGAGAACTGGTTAGATTAGAAGTTAGTAGAATAAAAGCTCATTATTAATAACTGGGAAGAACTCTTGCGTCAAGTCTTCATGTACTCAATGTGTACATTGTGTATCAGTATCAAATACCCCTAGACAACGAAGCATACGAACTAGATTCGTGACAAATTAATGAGTTACCCCAACACAAAAGATCAGAATTAACTTGACCATATGCATTTGCATATACAGACTCCTTAAATAACCTTACACTGACCTAAGAGTATATTACAGCCTCCTTAAATATCCTTACACTGACCTAAGAGTATATTACAGCCTCCTTTAATAACCTTACACTGACCTAAGAGTATTTTACAGCCTTCTTAAATATCCTTACACTGACCTAAGAGTATATTACAGCCTCCTTAAATAACCTTACACTGACCTAAGAGTATATTACAGCCTCCTTAAATAACCTTACACTGACCTAAGAGTATATTACAGCCTCCTTAAATAACCTTACACTGACCTAAGAGTATATTACAGCCTCCTTAAATATCCTTACACTGACCTAAGAGTATATTACAGCCTTCTTAAATAACCTTACACTGACCTAAGAGTATATTACAGCCTCCATAAATAACCTTACACTGACCTAAGAGTATATTACAGCCTTCTTAAATAACCTTACACTGACCTAAGAGTATATTACAGCCCTACTAAATACAAGTGAGTTGAAGGACAATTATAATACAAGTGATTTAATGGCGATTAAAATACAAGTGAGTTGAAGGAGAATTATAATTGAAGTAAGTTGAAGGAGAAGATTGGATCAATAATGAATGAGGTCAAAATCCTTTATTTCAGAACAACCCGTAGAAGCACCATTATAGACGCCAGGGAGACAGCACCAGAGAAAGCGACATTTGATATGTTCGTAGGAAAGCCGAAATCAGCTTCAGCTATTGGTAGGTGACGACATTCATTATGCCTACATAGAACTTCATCTTTGGTTTTATGTAGATCATGACACAGGTAGTTTGACACAGTGAAGGCTACTCACACTTTGGCTTGATGTAGGTCATGATATAGGTATGTTGATACATTGAAGGCTACTCACAATTTGACTTTATGTAGGTCATGCTATAGGTAGGTTGATACAGTGAAGGCTGCTCACACTTTGGCTTTATGTAGGCCATGACAAGATAACTTGACATAGAGTACTCAAGCATTGGCTTATGTATGCCTTTGTTGTGATGTCATTAAGTAAGCCTAATTTATAGCAGCATCAAATATTTGTTACTTAATGAAGTCCGCTAATAACGCACTTCGCCTTAATGAAACACTTTCGGATATAAGGCGGGCAGGGCAGGGCAGGGCATTTCTTAATGTACATTAAACAAACCATATATATATATATATATATATATATACATATAATTTAAATATTGACTTCATTGTAACGATGATAAGTCACGTGTCTGTTGAATGGGCCCCCTGTCACTTTTCGGTTATGAGCGACCTTCATATTTTAAATATTACAATTTGGGCCCCTTAGTTATCCGAGATTCCTACAGCCTCATGAAAAAGGGATTTGGTGGGGGGGGTGGGGGTGGGGCTGCAGGGCCAACACGACGGCTTAGTGGAGAACTAAACTATTTCAAATTCAGACATCATTTGACACTACAGTATATAGTGGCATAAGTGTCCTTGATGTCATATGGGTTTCGTCATAAGCCCATGATGTAACATAGTTTTTCTCAGTGGCTCAAATCTTCTTAAATGGATATTCATTTACCAAATAATCAGAATGTCCCACTATACCTTAGATTGTCCCAAATTATATACAATTTTCCCACAATACCTCAGATGGTCTCACAATATCTTAGATTTTCCCAAAATAATCAGATTGTCCCACAATTTATCAGCTTGCCCCCCAATATCTCAGATTGTTCCACACTATCTCAGATTGTTCCACACTATCGCAGATAGTACCACACCATCTCAGATTGTCCTACAATATCTCAGATGGCCACACAGTTATCAGATTGTACCACATTACCTCGGAATGTCCCACAGCATATTAAATAGTCCCCCAGCATCTCAAATTCTCCAGTTTGGATAGTCATATCAAGAGTGACTGACTGTCGACCAAAGAGATCTACGACAATCTAAATCCAGAACCACTTCCAAACTTGTCGCGTCCCGTTGATCAATATAACTGGTTGCTGGATGGTCCAGTAGAGCTCAGTTTACATGTACAGATATTAATTCGATAACTTGTGTTTGACTTCTTACAGGCCAACTGAGTATCGCTATTCCTAGTGAAATCAAAGGCTATTGGTTCGCCCATCAGAAGTACGGTCGCCTCCCGTGGAAGATTCTCTTTCAAGACTCCATCAGAATGGCGTCATACGGTTTCACTGTTCCTATAGGGCTCCACAGTGCGATAATGGATGCGAAGCTTCTGTTGTTGGCAGAACCAAGTCTAAAGTAAGCCATTTGCTGGGAGAGTTTATGTGTCAAACGATCAGATCGCCAGGTGAACACTAAACAACACCTGGATAGAAAGGGGTTTTGTTTAAGCTCGCTTTGACGTTTTGTCTTCATAATTTGTTTTAAAGATATCAAAAGTTGAAAAAAAAATGTCGGAGGATGTTTACTTGAACCCGCCCTGTTAACATAAATCTGAATTGTTAACTTACCTGCCCTGTTAACTTAAATCTGAATTGTTAACTTACCTGCCCTGTTAACTTAAATCTGAATTGTTAACTTACCTGCCCTGTTAACTTAAATCTGAATTGTTAACTTACCTGCCCTGTTAACATAAATCTGAATTGTTAACTTACCTGCCAAGTTAACTTAAATCTGAATTGTTAACTTACCTGCCCTGTTAACATAAATCTGAATTGTTAAATTACCTGCCCTGTTAACTTAAATCTGAATTGTTAACTTACCTGCCCTGTTAACATAAATCTGAATTGTTAACTTACCTGCCTTGTTAACATAAATCTGAATTGTTAACTAACCTGCCCTGTTAACATCAATCTGAATTGTTAGCTTACCTGCCCTGTTAACTTAAATCTGAATTGTTAGCTTACCCGCCCTGTTACCTTAAATCTGAATTGTAAGCTTACCCGCCCTGTAACCTTAAATCTGAATTGTTATCTTACCTGCCCTGTTAACTTAAATCTGAATTGTTAGCTTACCTGCTCTGTTACCTTCAATCTAAATTGTTAGCTTACCTGTCCTGTTACCTTAAATCTGAATTGTTAACTTACCTGCCCTGTTACCTTAAATTTGAATCGTTAGCTTACCCGCCATTTTACCTTAAATCTGAATTGTTAACTTACCTGCCCTGTTAACTTAAATCTGAATTGTTAACTTACCCGCCCTGTTAACATACATCTGAATTGTTAACTTACCCGCCCTGTTAACTTAAATCTGAATTGTTAACTTACCTGCCCTGTTAACTTCAATCTGAATTGTTAACTTAACTGCCCTGTTAAGTTAAATCTGAATTGTTAACTTACCTGCCCTGTTAACTTAAATCTGAATTGTTAACTTACCCGCCCTGTTAACATAAATCTGAATTGTTAGCTTACCTGCCCTGTTAACTTAAATCTGAATTGTTAACTTACCTGCCCTGTTACCTTAAATCTGAATTGTTAACTTACCTGCCCTGTTAACATAAATCTGAATTGTTAGCTTACCTGCCCTGTTAACTTAAATCTGAATTGTTAACTTACCTGCCCTGTTACCTTAAATCTGAATTGTTAACTTACCTGCCCTGTTAACTTAAATCTGAATTGTTAACTTACCTGCCCTGTTAACTTAAATCTGAATTGTTAACTTACCTGCCCTGTTAACTTAAATCTGAATTGTTAACTTACCCGCCCTGTTAACTTAAATCTGAATTGTTAACTTACCCGCCCTGTTAACATGAATCTGAATTGTTAACTTACCCGCCCTGTTAACTTAAATCTGAATTGTTAACTTACCTGCCCTGTTAACTTAAATCTGAATTGTTAACTTACCCGCCCTGTTAACTTAAATCTGAATTGTTAACTTACCCGCCCTGTTAACTTAAATCTGAATTGTTAGCTTACCTTCCCTGTTAACTTAAATCTGAATTGTTAACTTACCCGCCCTGTTAACTTAAATCTGAATTGTTAACTTACCCGCCCTGTTAACATGAATCTGAATTGTTAACTTACCCGCCCTGTTAACTTAAATCTGAATTGTTAACTTACCCGCCCTGTTAACATAAATCTGAATTGTTATCTTACCTGCCCTGTTAACTTAAATTTGAATTGTTAACTTACCTGCCCTGTTAACTTAAATATGAATTGTTAGCTTACCCTCCCTGTTAACTTAAATCTGAATTGTTAACTTACCCGCCCTGTTAACTTAAATCTGAATTGTTAACTTACCCGCCCTGTTAACTTCAATCTGAATTGTTAACTTACCCGCCCTGTTAACTTAAATCTGAATTGTTAACTTACCTCCCCTGTTAACTTAAATCTGAATTGTTAACTTACCCGCCCTGTTAACATAAATCTGAATTGTTATCTTACCTGCCCTATTAACTTAAATTTGAATTGTTAACTTACCTGCCCTGTTAACTTAAATTTGAATTGTTAACTTACCTGCCCTGTTAACTTAAATTTGATTTGTTAACTTACCCGCCCTGTTAACTTAAATCTGAATTGTTAACTTACCTGCCCTGTTAACTTAAATATGAATTGTTAGCTTACCCTCCCTGTTAACTTAAATCTGAATTGTTAACTTACCCGCCCTGTTAACTTAAATCTGAATTGTTAACTTACCCGCCCTGTTAACTTAAATCTGAATTGTTAACTTACCCGCCCTGTTAACTTAAATCTGAATTTGTTAACTTACCCGTCCTGTTAACTTAAATCTGAATTGTTAACTTACCCGCCCTGTTAACTTAAATCTGAATTGTTAACTTACCTGCCCTGTTAACTTAAATTTGAATTGTTAACTTACCTGCCCTGTTAACTTAAATTTGAATTGTTAACTTACCTGCCCTGTTAACTTAATTTTGAATTGTTAACTTACCTGCCCTGTTAACTTAAATCTGAATTGTTAGCTTACCTGCCCTGTTAAAATAAATCGGATTCATGGGACCGTGGTAGAGGTGTTACTGCCACAGGATGTCTGAAGATAAGGTACATAGAGCTTTATTTGGTTGTATGCGGTTCAGGTGGGAATTAAGTTGTATTTGCCAGCTGGATGTGTCAGCTGTATGTGTCAGTTGTGTCAGTTGTATGTGTCAGTTAATGTATCTGTTGACTCTTTCAACCTCAACTTTAACCAATTTTGTTGGCTGTGATAATCTGCTTCGCAGTGTTGAGTGATGTTGCAATGCTTGTCAGTGTTGAGTTTGAGGTATGTAAGTTTGTTTGACTGTGTTGAGGTATGTACGTTTGTTAGACTGTGTTGAGGTATGTACGTTTGTTAGACTGTGTTGAGGTATGTAAGTTTGTTAGACTGTGTTGAGGTATGTACGTTTGTTAGACTGTGTTGAGGTATGTAAGTTTGTTTGACTGTGTTGAGGTATGTACGTTTGTTAGACTGTGTTGAGGTATGTACGTTTGTTTGACTGTGTTTAGGTAAGTAAGTTTCTTTGACTGTGTTGAGGTATGTAAGTTTGTTTGAATGTGTTGAGCTATATAAGTTTGTTTGATTGTTTTGAGCTATGTACGTTTGTTAGACTGTGTTTAGGTATGTAAGTTTTTTTGACTGTGTTGAGGTATGTAAGTTTGTTTGAACTGTGTTGAGGTATGTAAGTTTGTTTGGCTGTGTTGAGGTATGTAAGTTTGTTTGACTGTGTTGAGGTATGTACGTTTGTTAGACTGTGTTGAGGTATGTACGTTTGTTAGAATGTGTTGAGCTATGTACGTTTGTTAGACTGTGTTGAGGTATGTAAGTTTGTTTGACTGTGTTGAGGTATGTAAGTTTATTTGGCTGTGTTGAGTTATGTAAGTATGTTTGACTGTGTTGAGTTATGTAAGTATGTTTGACTGTGTTGAGCTATATAAGTTTGTTTGACTGTGTTGAGCTTTGTACGTTTGTTAGAGTGTGTTGAGGTATGTAAGTTTGTTTGACTGTGTTGAGCTATGTAAGTTTGTCTGGCTGTGTTGAGCTATGTAAGTTTGTTTGGCTGTGTTGAGCTATGTAAGTTTGTCTGCCTGTGTTGAATTATGTAAGTTTGTTTGGCTGTGTTGAGGTATGTAAGTTTGTTTGGGTGTTCATTGCATTTTCTCCGTTTGGCTAGTGTGGTCTGCTCTCTCATTTCCTGATCTATTGTGACGTCATCCAGTGTAAGGTTAGCTTGACTGCCAAGATGTCGAGTGATGTTTGCTGTTGTTCGTGTGATCTGTGATCGCGATGCTATCGAGAAAATAACATCGATTCTTCGTTTGCTTGGGTAACCTGTAGAGATTCCAGATATGTGTTATAACGCTGCGTTAGTAGCAGTCACGTCTGCTTCATTATTGCTACAGGTCGCCACGCAGGGGCTTGCAGTGTCACGTGACCAGGCTGGGTTGTCAAAGCCTGCACTGTCAACCTAGACCTAAAGTATTAAGTTAAACCCGAACTGTTCACTTAATTAAGAGCTGTGATTCGGTAATGAACTAGGACAAACAGTAGCGGTTAGGGCTAGAAAGATCAAACTCTCATCTACCCCCCACCCCCCCCGGCAAAAAAAAAAAAAAAAAAAAAAAAAGGTGGCGTTAGACACAAAGGGTTTCAAAGAAAGGCCCCCCCCCCCCCCCCCCCCAGTGATACGTAGTAAATGTCTGTGAAATACCCTCAAGGAATAGGGATGGAGACATGGGCGCCCGCAGGGGTGGGGCAAAGGGGGCACTTGCCCCCCCTGGATTGATTGGATAAAAAATTTTTTGACAAAAATAGACGAAAAATTTATTAAAGTAAAGAGAAAATAAAGAGAAAGTAACTAAGCTGATGTCCTGTCTGCTCGTTCACCGTACAAATACGCTACAGTAAATTAAAACGATATTAAAACATTACTAAAAAATTTTTCCCCCCCCCCCCGGAAAGTTTATTTGTTTTTTTTGCCCCCCCCCCCCCCAGAAAGTTTTCTGCGTGCGCCCATGGATGGAGACCACTTTGAATGGTGTCCCTAAAGACTCATTTTTTCCTCCTCCCATTCACCAACACTGGGATAAAACAATGGCCCTCTTAACAATGGCCCTCTTAACAATGGCCCTATTAACAATGGCCCTATTCACAATGGCCCTATTAAGAATGGCCCTATTAACAATGGCCCTATTAACAATGGCCCTTTTAACAATGGCCCTATTAACAATGGCCCCCTTAACAATGACCCTATTAACAATGGCCCTATTAAAAATGGCCCTATTAACAATGGCCCTATTAACAATGGCCCTCTTAACAATGGCCCTATTTAAGTTGCTGGAGGGTCTTAGCAGGCAGAATCTCCAAAGACGCACTTTTGTGAAAGATCTCCCAGAGCGTCTTAAAGCAGTGTTTGTAGTTACGCATCGTAACTTAGGGTACACCTGGATCCCAAAGTTAAGGGGCACAGCTGGGTTGCTTTATCTCATTCGATGTCATATTTAAATCAACTAAGATCAATTATCTGCTTCTGTATGTTGTTCGTCCGTCGAGGATCGACGATGACCATCGAGTCGTCTGGTGACTGATGACTTGCGCGGGCCATTGTTTAAAGTGAGGAAGAGTTGCGCAGCGTCAACCTCACTCTCTCGTCCGAGCCCACCATATCCAGTGGCAAGACTCTACGTCAAGACGACCAGGGATGGGTACGGTTGCAGGAATTGACATTGTTTGCGCCTTACGGGACTCCAACTCCGGGTTTGAATTCAGAGTTTCCTTCTCTTAGATGAGTTGCCGAGCAAGGTTAACGACGGTAATCATGTCAATAACAACCCTGAACCCAGCAATAGGACCAAGCTAACACCCTTGTACCCAGCCATGGGACCAATCTAACACAGCTGCACACACCAATGGGAGCAAGCTAACACTATATTTTTACCACTACAGACACAAATAAATAACTAGAGACATAAATAAATAACTAGAGACATAATAAAAAGTTTGTCGTGAAAGTCTGTGTGACAGGGAGTCAGCAGCTGTCTGTGTGAGAGGGAGTCAACAGCTGTTTGTGTCAGAGGGAGTCAGCAGATGTCTTTGTAAGAGGGAGTATGCAGCTGTATGTGTGAGATGGAGTCAGCAGCTGTCTGTGTGAGAGGGAGTCAACAGCTGTCTGTGTGAGAGGGAGTCAGCAGCTGTCTGTTTTAGATGGAGTCAACAGCTGTCTGTGTGAGAGGGAGTCAACAGCTGTTTGTGTGAGAGGGAGTTAACAGCAGTCAGTGTGAGATGGACAGAGCAGCTGTCTGTGTGAGATGGAGTCAGCAGCTGGCTATTTGAGATGGATCAGCTCCTGAAAGTTTGAGAGGCAGTCAACAGCTGTTTGTGTGAGAGGGAGTCAACAGCTGTTTGTGTGAGAGGGAGTTAACAGCTGTTTGTGTTAGAGGGCGTCAATAGCTGTCTGTGTGAGAGGGCGACAGCAGCTGTCTATGTGACAGGGAGTCATCAGCTGTCTGTGTGAGAGGGAGTCAAAAGCTTGACACATGACTTTTGATCTTAAATTAAAATGATGAAAACAAGAAAAAAAAATATTTTTACTCAACTAAATTTAACCGATATTGTTCTTCCCCAAATCTTGATACTGAATCTGTGTATCAGTGGCGTAGCTAGGGTTGGTGTCCCCCGGTGTGGTCCACCTCCCTCTACTCACCCCGATCTACGCCACTGCTGCCAAATCCAAAACTCCTCCTAGTCCTTCTCATTTAGGTTCCATCATCTTTTCAACAGAAAAGCATTTTTCAACAACGAGACAGGCGATCTCTTTAAGCTCGGTGATAAAATGAGAAGACCGCAGCTGGCGCAGACAATGAGAACCATCGCTTCCGAAGGCGTGGATGCATTTTATAACGGTTCCCTCACAAATAAAATAATTCAAGACTTGAAAGAAATTGGTTAGTGATAATTACCATTAGTTAGTGACACTTACCATTAGTTAGGGATAGTTATCATTAGTTAGAGAAAGTGTACATTAGTTAGTGACAGTTAACATTAGTTAGTGAGAGTTAACATTAGTTAAAGTGAGTTACCATAAGTTAGTGAGAGTTAACATTAGTTAGTGACAGTTAAAATTAGTTAAGGAGAGTTAACATTAGCTAGTGACATTTACCATTAGTTAGTGAGCGTTAACATTAGTTAGTGAGAGTTACCATTAGTTAGTGAGAGTTAACATTAGTTAGTGAGAGTTAACATTAGTTAGTGAGAGTTACCATTAGTTAGTGAGAGTTAACATTAGTTAAATATAGTTACCATTAGTTAGAGACAGTTACAATTAGTTAAGGAGAGTTAACATTAGCTAGTGACATTTACCATTAGTTAGGGAGAGTTAACATTAAGTAGTGAGAGTTAACATTAGTTAGTGAGAGTTAACATTAGTTAGTGAGAGTTACCAATAGTTAGTGAGAGTTAACATTAGTTAGTGAGAGTTACCATTAGTTAGTGAGAGTTAACATTAGTTAGTGAGAGTTACCATTATTTATTGGGAGTTAACATTAGTTAAATATAGTTACCATTAGTTAGTGACAGTTAACATTAGTTAGTGACAGTTACCATTAGTTAGTGAGAGTTAACATTAGTTAGTGAGAGTTAACATTAGTTATTGAGAGTTAACATTAGTTAGTGAGAGTTACCATTAGTTATTGAGAGTTAACATTAATTAAATATAGTTACCATTAGTTAGTGACAGTTAACATTAGTTAGTGACAGTTACCATTAGTTAGTGAGAGTTAACATTAGTTAGTGAGAGTTACCATTAGTTAGTGAGAGTTACCATTAGTTAGTGAGAGTTAACATTAGTTAGTGAGAGTTAACATTAGTTAGTGAGAGTTAAAATTAGATATTGAGAGTTAACATTAGTTAGTGAGAGTTACCATTAGTTATTGGGAGTTAACATTAGTTAAATATAGTTACCATAGGTTAGTGACAGTTAACATTAGTTAGTGACTTTACCATTAGTTAGTGACAGTTACCATTAGTTAGTGAGAGTTAACATTAGTTAGTGAGACTTACCATTAGTTAGTGAGAGTTACCATTAGTTATTGGGAGTTAACATTAGTTAAATATAAATAACATTAGTTAGTGAGAGTTAACATTAGTTAGTGAGAGTTAACATTAGTTAGTGAGAAGTAACATTAGTTATTGGGAGTTAACATTAGTTAGTGAGAGTTAACATTAGTTAGTGAGAGTTACCATTAGTTAGTGAGGGTTACCATTAGTTATTGGGAGTTAACATTAGTTAGTGAGAGTTAACATTAGTTAGTGAGAGTTACCATTAGTTAGTGAGAGTTAACATTAGTTAGTGAGAGTTACCATTAGTTATTGGGAGTTAACATTAGTTAGTGAGAGTTAACATTAGTTAGTGAGAGTTACCATTAGTTAGTGAGAGTTAACATTAGTTAGTGAGAGTTACCATTAGTTAGTGAGAGTTAACATTAGTTAGTGAGAGTTAACATTAGTTAGTGAGAGTTACCATTAGTTAGTGAGAGTTAACATTAGTTAGTGAGAGTTAACATTAGTTAGTGAGAGTTACCATTAGTTAGTGACAGTTAACATTAGTTAGTGACAGTTACCATTAGTTAGTGAGAGTTAACATTAGTTAGTGAGAGTTACCATTAGTTAGTGAGAGTTACCATTAGTTATTGGGAGTTAACATTAGTTAAATATAAATAACATTAGTTAGTGAGAGTTAACATTAGTTAGTGAGAGTTAACATTAGTTAGTGAGAAGTAACATTAGTTATTGGGAGTTAACATTAGTTAGTGAGAGTTAACATTAGTTAGTGAGAGTTACCATTAGTTAGTGAGGGTTACCATTAGTTATTGGGAGTTAACATTAGTTAGTGAGAGTTAACATTAGTTAGTGAGAGTTACCATTAGTTAGTGAGAGTTAACATTAGTTAGTGAGAGTTACCATTAGTTATTGGGAGTTAACATTAGTTAGTGAGAGTTAACATTAGTTAGTGAGAGTTAACATTAGTTAGTGAGAGTTACCATTAGTTAGTGAGAGTTAACATTAGTTAGTGAGAGTTACCATTAGTTAGTGAGAGTTAACATTAGTTAGTGAGAGTTACCATTAGTTATTGGGAGTTAACATTAGTTAGTGAGAGTTAACATTAGTTAGTGAGAGTTAACATTAGTTAGTGAGAGTTACCATTAGTTAGTGAGAGTTAACATTAGTTAGTGAGAGTTAGCATTAGTTAGTGAGAGTTACCATTAGTTAGTCAGAGTTACCATTAGTTAGTGAGAGTTAACATTAGTTATTGGGAGTTAACATTAGTTAGTGAGAGTTAACATTAGTTAGTGAGAGTTAACATTAGTTATTGGGAGTTAACATTAGTTTAATATAGTTACCATTAGTTAGTGACAGTTAACATTAGTTAGTAACAGTTACCATTAGTTAGTGAGAGTTAACATTAGTTAGTGAGAGTTAACATTAGTTATTGAGAGTTAACATTAGTTAGTGAGAGTTACCATTAGTTATTGGGAGTTAACATTAGTTAAATATAGTTACCATTAGTTAGTGACAGTTAACATTAGTTAGTAACAGTTACCATTAGTTAGTGAGAGTTAACATTAGTTAGTAAGAGTTACCATTAGTTAGTGAGAGTTACCATTATTTAGTGAGAGTTAACATTAGTTAGTGAGAGTTAACATTAGTTAGTGACAGTTAAAATTAGTTAAGGAGAGTTAACATTAGCTAGTGACATTTACCATTAGTTAGTGAGCGTTAACATTAGTTAGTGAGAGTTACCATTAGTTAGTGAGAGTTAACATTAGTTAGTGAGAGTTAACATTAGTTAGTGAGAGTTACCATTAGTTAGTGAGAGTTAACATTAGTTAAATATAGTTACCATTAGTTAGAGACAGTTACAATTAGTTAAGGAGAGTTACCATTAGTTATTGGGAGTTAACATTAGTTAGTGAGAGTTAACATTAGTTAGTGAGAGTTAACATTAGTTAGTGAGAGTTAACATTAGTTAGTGAGAATTAACATTAGTTATTGGGAGTTAACATTAGTTAGTGAGAGTTAACATTAGTTAGTGAGAGTTACCATTAGTTAGTGAGAGTTACCATTAGTTAGTGAGAGTTAACATTAGTTATTGAGAGTTAACATTAGTTAGTGAGAGTTAACATTAGTTAATAAGAGTTTACATTAGTTAGTGAGAGTTACCATTAGTTATTGGGAGTTAATATTAGTTAGTGAGAGTTAACATTAGTTAGTTAGAGTTAACATTAGTTAGTGAGAGTTAACATTAGTTAGTGAGAGTTAACATTAGTTAGTGAGAGTTAACATTAGTTAGTGAGAGTTACCATTAGTTAGTGAGAGTTACCATTAGTTATTGGGAGTTAACATTAGTTAGTGAGAGTTAACATTAGTTAGTGAGAGTTAACATTAAGTAGTGAGAGTTACCATTAGTTAGTGAGAGTTAACATTAGTTAGTGAGAGTTACCATTAGTTAGTGAGAGTTAACATTAGTTAGTGAGAGTTAACATTAGTTAGTGAGAGTTACCATTAGTTAGTGAGAGTTAACATTAGTTAGTGAGAGTTAACATTAGTTAGTGAGAGTTACCATTAGTTAGTGACAGTTAACATTAGTTAGTGACAGTTACCATTAGTTAGTGAGAGTTAACATTAGTTATTGGGAGTTAACATTAGTTAGTGAAAGTTACAATTAGTTAGTGAGAGTTACCATTAGTTAGTGACAGTTAACATTAGTTAGGGAGAGTTACCATTAGTTAGTGAGAGTTAACATTAGATAGTGAGAGTTAACATTAGTTAAATATAGTTACCATTAGTTAGTGACAGTTAACATTAGTTAGGGAGAGTTAACATTAGCTAGTGACATTTACCATTAGTTAGCGAGAGTTACCATTAGTTAGTGAGAGTTAACATTATTTAAATATAGTTACCATTAGTTAGTGACAGTTAACATTAGTTAGTGAGAGTTAACCATTAGTTAGTGAAGTAATAAACCTTAATCTAAGCGACACCCAACAAGCTATATGCCTCCTCTCAGGTGGCAAAGGTCAATGTGAAATATACATTGGGCCTCTGACTGATGGGGAAAGGGTTATGGGAATATTCAGTCCAGTGTTCTTTCTCAGTGTTACGAGTTCTTTTATCAGTGTTCAGAAGTATGGATAAATATGATGAAAGTTGGGTGAACCTAAAGAAATGTGGATGGACCTGAAGAAATGTGGATGGACCTGAAGAAATGTGGGTGAACCTGAAGAAATGTGGATGGACCTGAAGAAATGTGTATGGACCTAAAGAAATGTGGATGGACCTGAAGAAATGTGGATGGACCTGAAGAAATGTGGATGGACCTTAGTAATGTGGTTGGACCTGAAGAAATTTGGATGGACCTGAAGAAATGTGGATGGACCTGAAGAAATGTGGATGGACCTGAAGAAATGTGGATGGACCTGAAGAAATGTGGATGGACCTGAAGAAATGTGGATGGACCTGAAGAAATGTGGATGGACCTGAAGAAATGTGGATGGACCTGAAGAAATGTGGATGGACCTGAAGAAATGTGGATGGACCTGAAGAAATGTGGATGGACCTGAAGAAATGTGGATGGACCTGAAGAAATGTGGATGGACCTGAAGAAATGTGGATGGACCTGAAGAAATGTGGATGGACCTGAAGAAGTGTCAATGAAACTGATGAAGTGTGGATTAACAATAATATCTGCATAATCCTGCATTACATCACTCTTGTCACTCAACAATTTATCTTACATATTACAAGTGTAACAAATTGTCACTTAATCGTTTATCTTACATGTGAAAAGTGTATCAGCTTGTCACTCAACCATTTATCTTACATGTGACACATGTCACAGCTTGTCACCCAGCGTTCTAAATGGTTTGACTGTCGTAAAGACTTGTTGAACATTGATCATTTCTTTGCTATCTCTCCACGAAACGAAAATGTTGAGCGCAGTTTGCTCTCTTTGCAGGCTCACAGGATGCAAGAGAAAAAACAGAAATACTGAGTCTGTCAGAATTAAGTATCACTGCAAGAGAATTTCAGAGATTGGTTTGTGTCCACATTTCCATAAGGCATTTAAAGAAAATGATATAGTGCTAAAAATGCAATTATCAGAAGAAATATGCACATATAGGAATGTAAATGTGTATTTGTAGGGGTTATTAATGTGCACTTGTAGTGTGCACTTTTAGAGGAAATAATTTAGCACTTTTAGTGGATATAAATTGCACTTGTAGTCGTTATAAAGTGCACTTGTAGTTGATATAAAGTGCTCTTGTATTAGACATATATCACACCTGTGTTCTTGCAGTGGCAATACATTAACACTTGTAGAGGATATGAATGACATTTGTACTAGGTATAGATATGCACATATAAGACATACAAAATTTTCACTTGTAGTGGATATAAATGTACACTTGTACTAAATAAAATAGTGCAGTCCTAGTAGACATTTGCTACTTTTCCAAAATTGAGAATAAATGAATTATTTTTGTTATTATTTTTTAAACACATTTATGGATTTCATTTTCCAAACGTGAATGTTAGTGTTTCGAAATTTTATTTTCATAATTGAGTCTTCCCCCCTCCCCCGGGCGACTGCTTGGTGGCAATCACATGGTCAACTCTCCCCTTCGGGGCCACTGCATGTTGGCACTCATATATGGTCAACCACTTCCCACCCCCACAGGGCCACTGCATGTTGACACTCATTAGGTCAACTCTGTCCCCCGGGGCCACTACGTGTTGACATTCCTATGGTCGTCTCTCCCCACAGGGCCAGTGCATGTTTACACTCATATGATCAACCCTCTCCTCCCGGGCAAAAACATGTTGGCAATCATATGATCAACCCTCTCCTCCCGGGCAAAAACATGTTGGCAATCATATGATCAACCCTCTCCTCCCGGGCAAAAACATGTTGGCAATCATATGATCAACCCTCTCCTCCCGGGCAAAAACATGTTGGCAATCATATGATCAACCCTCTCCTCCGCGAGCCAAAACATGTTGGCAATCATATGATCAACCCTCTCCTCCCGGGCAAAAACATGTTGGCAATCATATGATCAACCCTCTCCTCCCGGGCAAAAACATGTCTTCTTCTTCTATATCTTAAGGGCCCACGATCAATTTATTGATCATTTTGGCTCCTATGCATGTAGATGGGATTTGCAATGTTTCTGTTACTGTTGTTGATGAGGAAATCATGCACTAGGGATTTGAAGGCTTGAGGCAATAGACACAAATGTGTCTAGTGTTGTCGCCTCAACCGTTCCTTTTGAAAGATGGTTCCAGTCCCTGATTGTCTTGGGCAGGAATGAGCAGCTCCTATACTGGCTTCTTGCTGGTATGAGCCTGAATTGCCTGTCATGGCCTCGTCGCTGTCTATGGGGGAGAGGGACGAGTTTCTGTTTAATACTGGAACAGTGGACCAGCCCATTATTTATCTTGTACATCATGGAGAGCCTGGATTGTCGTCGTCGTTTCTCCAATGGTGACCAGCCTAGTGTTTCTAGCATGCTTCCAACACTAGAGGTATTCCTGTAGCGGTTTAGGACAAAGCGTGCTGCTCGTCGCTGGACCGCCTCCAACCTGTCAATGCTCTTCTGGGTAAATGGGTCCCAGATTGAAGATGCATAATCTAAAATCGGACGGATAAGGCTTTATATGCTCTTTCTTTCACACAGGAGTTGCCAATCTTTAGATTTCGCATTAAGAACCCCGTATGATGGCACTCATATGATCAACCCTCTCCCGCCTCGGCCAAAACATGTTGTCACTCATATGAACAACCCTCTCCCCCCCCCCCCCCCCGCGGCCAAAACATGTTGTCACTCATATGAACAACCCTTCCCAAATGTGTTAATCAGAACAAACTTATGATACTTTTATATCTCCTCTAATGTTGTGCTTTTGTTTACCTATTTGAATGCTGACTTCGTGTGACGCCAGGTTCAATCATAACCCCTGCGGACCTCGAAAACTATCAAGTACAAGAGAAGAAACCCCTGGAGATAACTCTCAATGGCGGCATAAGAGTGATTTCCCCTCCTGCTCCAAGTGGGGGCGTCGTGCTGTCTTTCATATTAAATATATTAGATGGTGAGCTCTCATGTTTTAACATAGCTCTCAAAGCTGTTATTTTTTGTTTCCATTGATATCCACTGTTTCATTCAAGACCCTTCCTGTCTGTTTTTGCTTTCTGATTCATAACAAAATTTCTTGTCCATTCGCTAAATACCAAATGCTCTTTTTGATAAATTCAATATATAAATACAAATTGTAATCCATTTCTTCTTTTTTTTTTTGACAGGCTACAACTTCACCGCTAGCGACATCTCCACCATCAAGTCTAAGACTTTAACTTATCACAGATACATTGAGTCTCTGAAGTTTGCCTATGCCAAGAGAACTGGTTTAGCAGATGACAAATTTGTTCAAGTTATGGGGGTAATTTTTCATTTTTTTGTTGGAGGGGGGGGGGGGCAAAAATTACAGAGTTAAGTTAGTAAAGAGAGATCTTAAGTCATGATTATGTTTACGTCAATTTAGCAAGACTCCAGATGAAGATAATATTCATTGTTAATGATCTATGCCAAGAGAACTGGTTTAGCAGATGACAAATTTGTTCAAGTTATGGGGGTAATTTTTCATTTTTTTGTTGGAGGGGGGGGGGGCAAAAATTACATAGTTAAGTTAGTAAAGAGAGATCTTAAGTCATGATTATGTTTACGTCAATTTAGCAAGACTCCAGATGAAGATAATATTCATTGTTAATGATGACTAGCTGTAACATTGTTTCAAATATTGAATTCATATATGAATTTGCTCTGTCTGTTTATGCAACTGTTGTATGTATATAACAGTTTATGCGTTTATTTCCATTGAAAAATGTATCAATCTTATGGTGAAAGTTGTGCTTCTAAATGAGTGGTGCTACTAAATGAAAGTGGTGCTACTAAATGAAATTGGTGCTACTAAATGAAAGTGGTGCTACTAAATGAAAGTTGCGCTACTAAATGAAATAGTTTTAGGCAGTTTTAAATATGATAAAGAAAGTTTCTCGGAGTGTGCAACCCAGAGAGGATCACCAGGAATTTCTAGAGCTAGCCATTAGATTTCAGTGAATGTCTTGTCTGGTTTGTGTCTCAATGAATATCTTGTCTGTTTTGTGTCTCTGTGAATATCTCGTCTGGTTGGTGTCTCTGTGAAGATCTTGTTTGATTGGTGTCTCTGTGAATGTCTTGTCTGGTTTGTGTCTCAATGAATATCTTGTCTGTTTTGTGTCTCTGTGAATATCTCGTCTGGTTGGTGTCTCTGTGAATATCTTGTCTGGTTGGTGTCTCAGTGAATATCTTGTCTGTTTTAGTGTCTCAGTGAATATCTTGTCTGGTTGGTGTCTCTGTGAAGATCTTGTCTGGTTTGTGTCTCAATGAATATCTTGTCTGTTTTGCGTCTCTGTGAATATCTCGTCTGGTTGGTGTCTCTGTGAATATCTTGTCTGGTTGGTGTCTCAGTGAATATCTTGTCTGTTTTAGTGTCTCAGTGAATATCTTGTCTGGTTGGTGTCTCTGTGAAGATCTTGTCTGGTTTGTGTCTCAGTGAATAGCTTGTCCGGTTTGTGTCTCAGTGAATATCTTGTCTGGTTGGTGTTTCAGTGAATATCTTGTCTGGTGGGTGTTTCAGTGAATATCTTGTCTGCTTGGTGTTTCAGTGAATATGTTGTCTGGTTGGTGTCGCTGTGAATATCTTGTCTGGTTGTCGTTTCAGTGAATATCTTATCTGTTGGTGTCTTTGTGAATATGTTGTCTGGTTGGTGTCGCTGTGAATATCTTGTCTGGTTGGTGTCTCTGTGAATATCTTGTCTGGTTTGTGTCTCAGTCAATATCTTGTCCAATTTATGTCCCAGTGAATACCTTGTCTGGTTTGTGTCTCAGTAAATATCTTGTCTGGTTTGTGTCTCAGTGAATATCTTGTCTGATTTGTGTTTCAGTGAAAATCTTGTCCGGTTTATGTGTATATCTTTTCCGGTGGGTGTTTCAGTGAAGAGATTGTCTGGTTCGTATCTAACTGAAGATCTTGTCTGGTTAAGGTCTCAGCAAATATCTTGTCTGGTTATTGGCTCACTGAAGATTTTGTCTGGTTTGCGTCTCAGTGAATATCTTGTCTGTTTTTTGTCTCATTGAATTTCTTGTCTGGTTTGTGTTTCAGTTAAAATCTTGTCTGGTTTGTGCCTCAGTGAAAATCTTGTCTGGTTTGTGTCTCTGGAATTCTGGTTTGTGTCTCAGTGAATATCTTGTCTGGTTTGTGTCTCTGTGAATATCTTGTCTTGTTTGTGTCTCAGTGAAAATCTTGTCTGGTTTGTGTTACAGTAAATATCTTGACTGTTTGGTGTCTCTGTGAATATCTTGTCTGGTTTGTGTCACAGTGAATATCTTGTCTGGTTTGTGTCTCAGTGAATACCTTGTCTGGTTTGTGTCTCAGTGAAGATCTTGCCCGGTTGGTGTTTCAGTGAATATCTTGTCTAGTTTGTGTTTGAGTGAAGAGCTTTTCTTGTTTGTGTCTCAGGGAAAATCTTGCCTGGTTATTGGCTCAGTGAAGATCGTGTCTGGTTTTTGTCTAAGTGAAGAACTTGTCTGGTTTGTTTCTCTCCGGAGATCTTGTCTTGTTTGTGTCTCAGTAAAGATCTTGTCTCGTTTGTGTCTCAGTTAAGATCTTGTCTGGTTAGTGTCTCAATGAAGATGTTATCTGGTTGGCAGTTTCCTAAAATAATCAAAAAGCTCACATTTTGTCTGATACATGTGGAGCTATTTTGATGGTAAAAATCTCCTTAGGGAAGCTATAGTGTTCCAGTATATTTTATGAAAAGTCCAACAACGGCTTCTGGAACATGTGTTAGTAGTAAGCGTTAGTGAGTTGGGCTCGGTTAAGATCTGGAGTGGAAGAAGTCCATCATTTCATTTGTCCCATCTAAAATAATTAAAATAATCATAAAGTTTATTTGAAAAACACGCTTTATCCCCAAAAGCTCGAAGCGCGGTACAAAGTCAACCATATTAAAAAGATTTAAAAAAAAAAAAATCTAAAATCTGACTGGTAGAGGCGATGTAGACTAAGAATTGGGTACAAAGGTAAAGATTTTTTAAAATGACCTGAATTCGGAAGATGAATCCAATAATTAACTTTGGCTTTCAGTGAGTTTGTAGTACACAAAGGTAACGTTTTCTTGAAAGGTAAAGGTAGTTTCCAGAAAGTTGAAATAATTCTCAGCGATCTGATGGGAATGATTTTAAGGAAATACATTGTTTGAGTTCACGTGCTACCATGGCAGTCGGGCTGAAGCAAGCATCGGTGATTCGTTTGTACATTGATTGAATACGCCCTGAAAGTGTCCTCTCTACAATGTATATGTAATAAGTCTTGTATATACCTTTTCTACAATGTATTCTGTGTTACGGCCTGTATATACTTTCTCTACAATGTATTCTGGGATACGGCCTGTATGTGTCTTCTCTACAATGTATTCAAAGTGACATAAAAATGCAGGCAAAACTTTGCCACACTAGTCATTTGGTCAAATTAATGACCATTAAATTCAAATTACTATTTAAGTATTAGAACATCCGGAAAAAAAGAGGGGGGGAGGTAGGGGTGATGCCAATGATAACTCAAAGTTTTATTTACTCATACATTGGTCAATCCTATATATATAAAACTCTTCTAAGAGAAGGCAAACTCTGCATTGAAACCAGGAGCCAGAATGATCAATAAATTGTACAGCTGATAAGATTTTTCACAAAGCTAGTCACAGCCTGGCAATGTATTGATTGACTAAATCTCCTATTTGAATTGCTTTGCCAGTGTTAATTCATTGGGAGACAGTATTTTTCAATAATGTTACTTTGTTGTTTTTGTTGTCAGCTTATACAAAGTTTGACATCCAGAAAATTCGCGAACAGTATACGGCAACAAATATCTGACAATGCAACATACGACTACCGTTACTATGGACCAACCTTCGAGACGGGCAACACCACCAGCACTTCCCACCTGTCAGTGCTTGACCAAGAGGGCAGTGCTGTGTCAGTGACCAGTACTATCAATTCAAGGTTCCGTTATTTTATGATATAATAATAATATTTATAATAAATAAATATTTAAATGTCGAACAATTTGTTTGGTATTTTATTTTAAATGAGTTCAAGCAGGTAAAGGTTATTAAATCTTATTATTTAAAAAAAAATGAATTTAATTTATTATAAATGATATATTTTAACATAAATAAATACTGTCTGTATAAGATGCACTGATATTTGATCCTGTAGTATAGGCCAAAACGTGCCAAAGTGTCCTTGTTTTATAGCCATTTTAATTGTTTCTATGGTATAGTAGTTACTATCCTAGTGTCTCATTTTTATTTTACTTAGTTTAAATGTTTTTAATAATTGTAAAGCGCTTAGAGCTTTAAGGTAAGCGCTATATAAAAATGCCTAAATAAATAAATAAATAAATATTTATTGGATCGCTAAAAATTGTCCTAACACTTCAGGTTTGGCTCTCAGAGGCGTGGCAAGAGAACGGGAATCATATTCAACAACGAGATGAACGACTTTAGCTTTCCCAACGTGATCAATGCCTGGGGCATCCACCCATCTCCCGCCAACTTCATCGTTCCGGGCAAGCGCCCACTGTCATCTATGTGTCCAGCCATTTTCCTTGACCGTGAAGGAAAAGTCATCATGGTTTTGGGAGCAGCTGGGGGGTCAAGAATAACAACGATCACTGCCTGGGTCAGTTACTGACCAAGTACTTTTATAATGACCTACGTCACCAAATCGGATCATTTTAATAATATAATATTAATAATAAACCGAGGAAAACTTCTAACGGTCGTAAGTATCCATTGGCGTAGCTTCGGTTAGTGCCTCCAGGAGCAGTCAAGACTTTTTGCTGCCCCCCTTCCCCGAAAAGAACTCTTCACTTGGCCTTATGCACCACCAATTTATTATTAAGAAAAGTATACGGCCCCTCAGCACCCATTCCTACGCCTCTGATTTTTCTATGATGATTAAATGGCGTTTGTACTTTAGACGGCTAATCCACTACTTGCTTCTAGAATCCTACTCTCCAACTTCTAAGAGTTCAACTCTCCAACTTCTAGAGTTCTACTCTCCAACTTCTAGAGTTCTACTCTCCAACATTTAGAGTTCTGCTGTCTAGCTTCTACAGTCCTACTCTCAAACTTCTAGAGTTCTGCTCTCTAGCTTCTATAGTTGTACTCTCTACTCTGTGAACAAAGTAGGGTACAACGAAATGAGGTCAACTGTCTGAATTGCTCTTAACAGTTTTTAGTACAGGCGACAGTTGCAATAAATGGGACAAACTACAGGCCGTTATTAAATCAATGTCTGAGATTCACACTACAGGACGCCATTAATTCAATGTCTGAGATTCACACTACAGGACGCCATTAATTCAATGTCTGAGATTCACACTACAGGACGCCATTAATTCAATGTCTGAGATTCACACTTCAGGACGCCATTAATTCAATGTCTGAGATTCACACTACAGGACGCCATTAATTCAATGTCTGAGATTCACACTACAGGACGCCATTAATTCAATGTCTGAGCTCACACTACAGGACGCCATTAAATCAATGTCTGAGCTCACACTACAGGACGCCATTAATTCAATGAAAACGTTATTATTATTATTATTTACAAAGTCAAGTTGGAGAACACATATGTATCTCTCCATTATTTCTTAAACCAACCATGCCTCTTACTTTTCTAGTTGAAGTGTGGCCTGATAGTTCCTGACCTAGTTGAAGTGTGGCTTGATAGTTCCTGACCTAGTTGAAGTATGGCCTGATAGTTCCTGACCTAGTTGAAGTATGGCCTGATAGTTCCTGACCTAGTTGAAGTGTGGCCTGATAGTTCCTGACCTAGTTGAAGTGTGGCCTGATAGTTCCTGACCTAGTTGAAGTGTGGCCTGATAGTTCCTGACCTAGTTGAAGTGTGGCCTGATAGTTCCTGACCTAGTTGAAATGTGGCTTGATATTTCCTGACCTAGTTGAAGTGTGGCTTGATAGTTCCTGACCTAGTTGAAGTGTGGCTTGATAGTTCCTGACCTAGTTGAAATGTGGCTTGATAGTTCCTGACGTAGTTGAAATGTGGCTTGATAGTTCCTGACCTAGTTGAAGTGTGGCTTGATAGTTCCTGACCTAGTTGAAATGTGGCTTGATAGTTCCTGACCTAGTTGAAATGTGGCTTGATAGTTCCTGACCTAGTTGAAGTGTGGCAAGATTGTTCATTTGGTTGTTAATCATTTCGAGTGTTCTTTTCATGAAACTAAAAACTGAACGAATTTATTAATTGACACCATAAAACGAATGGTTTGTGGAAGTTTCATGTAATAGAAAAAAAAGTGTTATTACATTTTTTGGTAAATTATGTGTAAACCCACAAAGACATGTAAACATCCACACCAACATATACATGTAAACACCCACGCTTGAAGATGCTTCTTATCACGACCTTCCCATACCACGACCTTCACTTACCACGACCTTAAACTTACCGAGACATTCTCCTTATCATAACCTTCTCCTTATCACGACCTTCCCCTTACCACGACCCTCACTTACCACGACATTCTCCTTACCGCGACGTTATCCTTACCACGACCTTCACTTTACCGCGACTTCACCTTACCACGACCATCATCTTTCCACAATCTTCACCTTACCACGACCTTCACCTTACCACGACATTCTCCTTACCGCAACTTAATCCTTACCACGACCTTCACCTTACCATGATATTCTCCTTACCACGACCCTCACCTTACCGCGACTTCACCTTACCACAACCTTCACTTACCACGACATTCTCCTTACCGCGACGTTCTCCTTACGGCGACGTTCTCCTTACCACGACCTTCACCTTACCAAGACATTCACCTTACCACGACCCTCACCTTACCACGACCCTCACCTTACTATGACCTGCTTCTTATCACGACCTTCACCTTACCACGACCTTCACCATCCGGGTTAACTACATTAAGTTCATTATAATGATACATTTGATGTAAAAATAAAGAAAATACCGTCTTCCATTTACTTCTTTTTTTTTTTTTCATTTCCTCTTCCAGGTAGCTGTGCATGTCCTGTGGCTAGGGGACAGTATTAGGAGTGCAATAACCCGACCACGCATGCATCATCAGTTGCTTCCCCCTCACGTTAATTATGAGGGAAAATTCGAGGCAGTAAGCACGACACTTGTCTCTATGCAAGTTAAACGAAACATCTATGAAAATAATTCAAATTTTTAAGCATTTGATGAATACTTGTCTATTAAGTATAAAATAGGTCTCATCATACGCAGACATTCTGAAATTTAGTTCAAACGGAAGCTCAACTTGCGACAGGTCTAACAATCTTGCAGTGATAGATAACGACTCAAGTTATGACAAGCCCGCTGGGGATATATTAATAATTAACTTACTAGTTAGGCAGTCGTTATAAATAACTACCCACGTTACAACCAGCCTTGTCTTCATACACAAAATGTCTTATAAAGTAATTATTTCTCCAAGGAAAGAACATTTCTAAACATTTTAGGACACTAGTTTTCTTCTTACATGGCTTTCTTCGACTTTTTTTGTCTTATTTTTTTTATTTTTTTTTTTACTTTAGCTCAGCCTCATTCCCCGTCTCTCCTTAATGAGCTGTTGGTTTCCACAGGCTGTCATACAAAATTTAAAAAGTATTGGCCACAATGTCAGCCTAGTCCCCATCGGCAAGGTCATTGCTACTGTCCAGGGCATTCATGTCAAAGATGGCCGCATATTTGCAAACAGCGACTACCGAAAAGGAGGCACACCAGACGGGTTCTGAACACGGATTTTGCTCTATTTCTAGAGCAAATTCAGATGCAGATTTTGGGGGATTAAAATTGAGATTTTGTAAATATTCCATGACTTTCACGTGATGTTTATTCTGAATATTTCAAGAGAAAAAAACTCTGAAATACTGTAAAGATTTAATCTTAAACTTTTGAATTTTAAAAGATATTTATTCTTGATTAAGTCAACAGATGTGATAACAAAGCCTTCATTCATTCCAGTGGTTTTCCATCCTAGTGGTTTCCATGCCAGTGTCTTGTCACTCCAGTGGTTTGCCACTCGCGTGGTTTTCCATCTCATTGGTTTGCCACCCAAATTAAGTGGTTTGACAGTCCAGTGGTATTCCATCCCAGTGGTATTCCATCCCAGTGGTATTCCATCCCAGTGGCTATTACATCCCAGTGGTATTCCATCCCAGTGGTATTCCATCCCAGTGGCTATTCCATCCCAGTGGTATTCCATCCTAGTGGCTATTACATCCAAGTGGCTATTACATCCCAGTGGCTATTACATCCCAGTGGCTATTAAATCCCAGTGGTATTCCATCCCAGTGGTATTCCATCCCAGTGGTATTCCATCCCAGTGGTATTCCATCCCAGTGGTGTTCCATCCCCGTGGCTATTAAATCCCAGTGGTATTCCATCCCGGTGGTATTCCATCCCAGTGGCTATTAAATCCCAGTGGTATTCCATCCCAGTGGTATTCCATCCCAGTGGCTATTAAATCCCAGTGGTATTCCATCCCAGTGGTTTTCCATCCCAGTGGTATTCCATCCCAGTGGTTGTTCATCCCAGTGGCTATTACATCACAGGGGGTTTCTCTCCCAGTGGTTTTCCCTCCCAGTTGTCCGTCCCAGTGGTTTAACATTCCCATTGGTTTTCCCATACCGTTGTCCATCAGATCAAATGTGAATACTATGCATTGTTCATCAAAATAATCAGCCATGGGGCTTTAAAATTCTTTATTAACATTGGAAGGTATAAAGATCTTAATATTTGTTTAGATGTGTATACTATTGAAACACTTACAAGACAAAAACCTGTACAAATAAATTAAAAGGCGAAATCATTATCATGTATAATTTGTAATAATTTTTTTCAATTAATCTTTCACTGTTTAGTACTGTATACACTCTGTGCCCTTAGGATTTGCCATCCAAGTCAAGTGGTTTGCTATCTCATTGGTTTGCCACCCAAGTCAAGTAGTTTGCCACTTCAGTGGTTTGCCCTCTCATTGGTTTGTCACCAAAGTCAAGTGGTTTGCCACTTGAGTGGTTAGCCATCTCATTGGTTTACCACCCAAGTCAAGTGGTTTGCCATCTCAATGGTTTACCACCCAAGTCAAGTAATTTGCCATCTCAATGGTTTACCACCCAAGTCAAGTTGTTTGCCATCTCATTGGTTTGCCGCCCAAGTCAAGCGGTGTTCCAAGTCCCCAACAAGAGGTCTCAGTGTTGTTTAAAAATTTAAAAATGTATGCAATTGTTTCATCATTGAGTCGAGGCTGTGTCTGCTTTTACTTCACGGATCAATTCAGAATTTTTTAGCATCGAGAATAATCCACAGTCTGGTAGACTGGCAAGAAAACGTTTCAAACTGAGTTTTTTTAAAAAAAATAAAATGGAACTCTACCAAATCATCTTCTTAATTAAGCCAGCGCAAACGTACACAACAAAGTAAATCATATTCATTTTAGTTTAAAATCAAGTCGTAATAAACCTGAGCCTGACTACTGTGCCTTAAACATGTTCTTTAAACCTGTACCTTAAAGATGTGCCTTAATCATGTACTTTAAACCGGTGCCTTAAACATGTGTCTTAAACCATTGCATTAACGCAGATGATATTCTTTAAACATGTACCTAAAACTTGTATCTTAAACCTATGCCTTAAACTTGTGCCTTAATCCGGTGCCTCAATCCTGTGCCTAAAAGATGTGCCTGAAAATGGTGCCTTAACGCTGATGATATTCTTTATGGATGGTGAAAACATTGTATTCGAGTACTAGGCAAGGCTGTTTTACCAACAATAACACTAACAGATTTGTAAGTTCTGGCTTTATACATGGTTCATAATGTCATTACACAGTAAATATTCTAGTCATTCATGAAAGATTATCTCATAGCCATATGAACCAACACTTGTCACTGAATGATCACTAGTCACTGAACCAACACATGTCACTTAACTAACACATGTCACTGAACCAACACTTGTCACTGAATTATCTCAAGCACACTGAACCAACACATGTCACTGAACCAACACATGTCACTGAACCAACACTTGTCACTGAATTATCACAAGCACACTGAACCAACACATGTCACTGAACTAACACATATCACTGAACCAACACATTTCACTGAACCAACACATGCCACTTAACAAACACTTGTCACTGAATTATCACAAGCACACTGAACCAACACATGTCACTGAACCAACACATGTCACTGAACCAACACATTTCACTGAACCAACACATGCCACTGAACCAACACGTGTCACTGAACCAACATATGTCACTGAACCAACACATGCCACTGAACCAACACATTTCACTGAACCAACACTTGTCACTGAACCAACACATGTCACTGAACCAACACATGCCACTGAAGCAACACTTGTCACTGAACCAACACATGTCACTGAACCAACATTTGTCACTGAACCAACACTTGTCACCGAACCAACACATGTCACTGAACCAACACATGCCAATGAAGCAACACTTGTCACTGAACCTACACTTGTCACTGAACCAACACATGCCACTGGAGCAACACTTGTCACTGAACCTACACTTGTCACTGAACCAACACATGTCACTGAACCAACACTTGTCATTGAACCTACACTTGTGACTGAACCTACACTTGTCACTGAACCTACACTTGTCACTGAACCAACACTTGTCACTGAACCTACACTTGTCACTGAACCTACCCTTGTGACTGAACCTACACATGTCACTGAACCAACACATTTCACTGAACCAACACATGTCAATTAACCAACACTTGTCACTGAACAAACACATGTCACTGAACCAAAACATTTCACTGAACCTACACTTGTCACTGAACCTACACTTGTCACTGAACCAACACATGTCACTGAACCAACACAAGCCACTGAACCAACACAAGCCATTGAACCAACACATGTCACTGAACCAACACAAGCCACTGAACCAACACTTGTCACCGAACCAACACATGTCACTGAACCAAATCTTGTCACTGAACCAACACATGTCACTCAACCTACACATGTCACTGAACCAAAACATTTCACTGAACCTACACTTGTCACTGAACCTACACTTGTCACTGAACCTACACTTGTGACCTTTGTTTACATGTTACTAGCAAAGCTGAAAGTATATTTGATATGAGAAATTTTAAGATTTTAAAACATAAGTTGAGCAGATTGTTTAATGCGTCACCCCAAAACTGCATAGTGTATCTAAAGTCTGCATTAAAAATTTAAGGATATTTTCGTGACTTCACATATTTTAAGCAGATCCATAGAACAATTTAGTGAGTAACCACCGCAAAAATTGACATGTTTTAATCAACTCTCTTTAAACTTAATTGAATTTGATGCCTATATTTTGATTGATGATTGGATGAAAATTTAGAATAAAATGAAGTACAGTTTCGTCTAACTGACTCACAAATAAAACATCTCGGTTTTAAGCCACATTTGTAGCAATGTATTAGACGTATCAAATTGAAGTATCTATTTTTAAAATTTTTAATTTCAGTTTTCGTTTCTGTTTAAAATAAATCAAAGTTTTTTCTTTGCTCAAGGAGTAACTTAGAACACACTTGTTTATACGATAATGTTGAGAATGTGCTAATAAATAATTTGATTCAATTTGATTGGGTTTTGTGACAGACTCATTGGGTTGGCTTGATTGTGCTCTGTGACAAACTCATTGGTTTAATTCGATAGTCCTTTGCGACAAAAACAATGTTTGATTGTTTGTTTTTTAAAGCTTTGTTAATGTTCCATTGACTAGACCAGTGGTTCTCAACTTTTTTCATATTGGGGCGCCGTAAGCCTAAGGAATTTATCCTCGTGACAACACTTCTACCTTTTATTTTTTATTCAATACACACACATTCCCATACATACACACATTCCCATACATACACACATTCCCATACATACACACATTCACATACATACACACATTCCCATACATACACACATTCACATACATACACACATTCACATACATACACACATTCACATACATTCACACATTCCCATACATACACACATTCACATACATACACACATTCCCATACATACACACATTCCCAAACATACACAAATTCCCATACATACACACATTCCCATACATACACACATTCCCATACATACACACATTCACATACATATACATATTCAAATACATATACACATGCACATAGCGAGTGAAATGTACGCAAATGTAGGAACCAATGAAACGTACACATATACGGAAGGTAATGAAGTGTACACACATACACGAATCAATGAACTGTGCAGGAATTGGTGAAGTGTACACACTTAAACCAGTCAATGAGGTTTACACACACATGAGTCAGTCCAGTGTGAGCACTTAAAGGAGTCAGTGAAGTGTACACACATACACGAGTCAGTGAAGTGTACACACTTACACGAGTCGGTGAAATTTACACACTTACACGAGTCAATGAAGTGTACACACATAAATGGTCTACACATAAATCCTTGAATCCACGTTATTCCCTTTTCACATCAAAAACAATTCTGGCCCAATATTTACTGCATTCTCGGTAAATGTACCTAGGTAACTCTATATTAAATGGCTGCTATACTGACTTCTTGATGTCGTCAGGGGCAACTTAGAGCCACACAAAAACCAACATTACGGGAATTCCCCCAAACAAGCTTTCAAGCCAATTTTCCAAGTACAGTATTCTAGATCGATATTTTATTTTTATCTTTGACGTCACACAACCATTATATTATGGCATGCAACCTTCAATAAAATAGTTATATCTTTTTGATTAGCTTTTGGACGAGATAAGACAGCAATGGCATACAACCAAGGGTGAGTTGTCCTTTAAATAGCATAGTTATCTCAGTGTTATTTTTGAGACTCTGGTGTTATAATTTGTTGTTATCCATATCCTTAGAAAATATGGCCTTCTAAATCATTTAAATTACTGGAATACACATTCATTTTGTTTTAAATGTCATTGCTTTAATTTAGTTTGAATCATCTCCCAGGCGACAAGTTTTTTGTTGTTATTTTAAGCTTGATGCTCAGAGGTCATGGCGTAGGAAGTTGGGAATGTCCGCACCGGATGACACATTTTTCTATATCTAGAGAGCTACCAATTTTTTCCACAGTGCCCACAGAAGGCCATTCCATTTCTCTTTATTGAATTCGAAAGACCACATTTTTCCTCTCCTTGTGTACACTGCCTCAGTTCGACTTCTTCACAACAATTCTTGAATGTTTGTTATTTCATAGTTTATTCTAGTTATATTGGACCATAATATAATGTATATATATGTATATATATATATATATATATATATATATATATATGTATATATATATATATATATGTATATATAGTGTTTAAATCGTATGACTGACTCGACAAGTACCAAAATGATTATATAATATATGAGTGTGTTACACATCCGGGACACGTGAGTGTATTATACAGCCGTGACACGTAATTGTATTATATAGCCGTGAAACGTGAGTGTATTATACAGCCGCGACGCGTGAGTGTATTATACAGCCGTGACACGTGAGTGTACTATACAGCCGTGACACGTGAGTGTATTATACAGCCGCGACACGTGAGTATATTATACAGCCGTGACACGTGAGTATATTATACAGCCGTGACACGTGAGTTTATTATACAGCCGGGATACGTGAGTGTATTATTTATTTATTTAGGCATTTTTTTTAAATAGCGCTTACCTTAAAGCTCTAAGCGCTTTGCAATTATTAAAAACATGTAAACTAAGTAAAATAAAAATGAGACATTAGGATAGTAACTACTTTACTATAGAAACAATTAAAATGGCTATAAAACGAGGACACTTTGGCACGTTTTGGCCTATACTACAGGAACAGAAAATGAGGCAGGGCAAGGAGGGTGCATCACAGGTCATAGGCGGACCTAAACAGATGGGTTTTAAGGGACTTTTTAAAAGTGGACGAGGTTTCACAATGACGGATATGGAAGGGGAGCTGGTTCCAGAACGTGGGCGCATGGAAGCAGAAGGAGCGTTCACCGATGGTCTTAGTATTGGTTCTTGGGATTGAGAGGGTTCTACTGTCAATGGAAGAACGTAGTTGTCTTGTGGGGATGTAAGGAAGCAACAGTTCAGAGAGATAGACAGGAAAGTGAGGGTCAGTGAACGAGGTGAAGCATAGATTGGGACTTGTGAGTAGATTCTACTGCGGGGTTATTTGTATTGTAGTACGCAGCCGGGACATGTGAGTGTATTAAACAGCCGGGACATGTGAGTGTATTATACAGCCGGGACATGTGAGTGTATTATACAGCCGGGACATGTGAGTGTATTATTGTCGGCCCTGTACACTCACATAATATGTCGGCCCTGTACACTCACATATATACAGCCGGGACATGTGAGTGTATTATACAGCCGGGACATGTGAGTGTATTATACAGCCGGGACATGTGAGTGTATAATATAATACCACCGGAACATATTAGTGCATAAAATAACAGGATCTAAACGTTTGCCTTGCTATAGAATGTTGTAGAATGTTGTAGAATGTTGTAGAATGTTGTAGAATGTTGTAGAATGTTGTAGAATGTTGTAGAATGTTGTAGAATGTTGTAGAATGTTGTAGAATGTTGTAGAATGTTGTAGAATGTTGTAGAATGTTGTAGAATGTTGTAGAATGTTATAGAATGTTGTAGAATGTTGTAGAATGTTTTAGAATGTTGTAGAATGTTGTAGAATGTTGTAGAATGTTGTAGAATGTTATAGAATGTTGTAGAATGTTGTAGAATGTTGTAGAATGTTGTAGAATGTTGTAGAATGTTGTAGAATGTTGTAGAAATTTGTAGAATGTTGTAGAATGTTGTAGAATGTTGTAGAATGTTGTAGAATGTTGTAGAATGTTGTAGAATGTATCTTACGTTAATTACCACTGACGTCATTTGCTGAACCATGATATCCAACTTTTCATATTTCGTGATACGCAAACAAATTTCATTGGAAGTCATTCCTGGAACTCAACCAGATCTCCATTATAAAAAACCTCGACCATAAATAAAATTGATCAACTCCTGCATGTAACAACTCATTGAACACAAATCTGAAGACTTCTAAGAACTGGTTCTAGTGGTGCATTGAATTCAACATTGAAAACTTTGTATGTTACATGAAAAGATCACGTGATATTCATAATGGCACTAGGAAAATCACCGTCTGCACTATGTACACTATTTGTCATAACACCGTCTGCACCCTGTACACTAGTTGTCATAACATTGTCTGCACCCTGTACACTAGTTGTCATAACATTGTCTGCACCCTGTACACTAGTTGTCATAACATTGTCTGCACCCTGTACACTAGTTGTGACGTAGCTAAGCTTTTGCTAATGGGACTTTACTTCCGTTTATCGAAGATTTGTGAATTAGTGACGTAGCAGTCCTTTATCTTACCCGGGACCGTACTGGTGTTCACTGACGTAGGTAGTAGGGGTCGCAATCTGGGATCCCGACTCTCGAAAATACCGGAATACCGGACCATGATCGATGATCGGAAAAAACCGGGATTGGATTTATGAAAACCGGGATTTTCAATAATCCGTGGATTTCATTAAAAATATTTATCGCTTTCTTAGTTTCCATGCCGTAGTTAAAGCAAGACATATCAATCATTGATGTGACGTGCAAAGTGGGGAACCCCTCACACCACGTGTATCAAGTTCAAAGAGAGCCGACCGACGTGCTAGATCTCTGTACTCTTCATTTGTCAACTATCATGGTGTTGTGATTAGTTGCTTCTTTTACAACGTGCGTGTGTAGTGTGTAAGTGGAGACGTGAGTCACAACGTGCGTGTGTAGTGTGTAAGTGGAGACGTGAGTCACAACGTGCGTGTGTAGTGTGTAAGTGGAGACGTGAGTCACGACGTGAAGGTACATGATTGGAAAGTAAAAAATGTTTTGATATTATTAACAAATAAATCATTTTTATAGTCGAATAAGATAGAATGTTGACATACATTAACAATTTGTTTGTAACATGAAATATATGGAAATATTAACACGCTGCATTCGAATCACGGGGTAACAAAATGGTTGATTGCTTGATTTCATTTAATTAGGCCAAAGTATCTACACATTAAAAATTTTGAGTATATCCGTATTTTGATAATCGAATACCTTAAGTTTAAGACACAGAAAAGTTATGTTACTACTATTTTGTGAAAACAATAATAATTCACACTCACCTCATAATTGATTTACGAGCTATATTGTCCCAGGCTGAATGTCTCAGTTTGTTTGTACCTTGCCTAGCCAAACATTTACATGACTGAATGTCTCAGTTTGTCTGTACCTTGCCTAGCCAAACATTTACATGACTGAATGTCCCAGTTTGTCTGTACCTTGCCTAGCCAAACATTTACATGACTGAATGTCCCAGTTTGTCTGTACCTTACCTAGCCAAACATTTACATGACTGAATGTCCCAGTTTGTCTGTACCTTACCTAGCCAAACATTTACATGACTGAATGTCCCTGTTTGTCTGTACCGCACCTAGCCAAACATGTACATGACTCAATGTCCCAGTTTGTCTGTACCTTGCCTAGCCAAACATGTACATGACTGAATGTCCGAGTTTTTTCTGTACCTTGCCTAGCAAAACATTTACATGACTGAATGTTTGAGTTTGTCTGAACCTTGCCTAGCCAAACATTTACATGACTGAATGTCCGAGTTTGTCTGTACCTTGCCTAGCCAAACATTTACATGACTGAATGTCCCAGTTTGTCTGTACCACCCCTAGCCAAATATTTACATGACTCAATGTCCCTGTTTGTCTGTACCGCCCCTAGCCAAACATGTACATGACTCAATGTCGCAGTTTGTCTGTACCTTGCCTAGCCAAACATTTACATGACTGAATGTCCCAGTTTGTCTGTACCTTACCTAGCCAAACATTTACATGACTGAATGCCCGAGTTTGTCTGTACCTTGCCTAGCCAAACATTTACATGACTGAATGTCCCAGTTTGTCTGTACCGTGATTATTTCAGAAATTTTTCCCCGGGGGGCAATTCAGATTGTTTGGGGGGGGGGCAGTGCCAGCAGTGCCAGTTGATTTATTGATGGACATATTTTTGCTCCGGGGGCACTTGGCTTTCCCCGAGGGAGGGCGGCGCTTAATTTCACTTAATTTGTTGTTGTTCTTGTCATTGTTAAACTCAGGGAAAGCGGGTTCCGCCATGAGTTGACCGCAACTCGTGACACCAACCCTAGCTACGCCACTGCCACTGCTTGTGTTTGCCGACCGTCTTTCCCAATTGCACACACACACAAAAAGACAGGAATGCAATTCAATCCCGGAAGATCCATGCGGGAACTCGAGAGGTGGGTGGGCAATGGGGGCGATAGACTCCTCACACGATAACAGATATATATATATATTTAAACCAATTTTAACTTAACTGAAAAAGTGTTATTGTTATTGCATTCAGTTTGTAGAACTTTTCGTATAAGATTATAATTACGTAGAAAAGTAGCCTTTACACAGGAAGAGGTTGTTAAATTTAATCTAGGATGTTCCAGAAATTTCTATATTTGTTCCAGAGAGATATATAATGGAAACAAAAAGCTTATTGAAGTGTTATTTAAGTCCAATTAATTTCTTTCTTTATTTATTTCTTAATTTCCTGTGGATTTTCAACGGAATCCCACCGGGACCTGCATCCCACCGGGATCGAGATCACTATGGGTTCTAGATCCCACCTGGAACAAAATTTCATCAGCAGATTGGATCCAATTGGGAAACGGAATCCCATCTGGCTCCCAATGGGTGTTGGGATGACACTGGGAAAGGGATCCCCCGGGAACGGGATTCGATCTGGAAATGGAACCCATTGGGATCCCAACGGGGTCGGGATCCAACCTTGAACGGGATCCAACGGGGAAATGGATACAACTGGGGAAAGCAACCCACCAGGATATGGGATCCCTTGTCGAAACGGGATACCATTGGGATCCTACCGGGAACGAGATCTAATCGGGATATAGATCAGACTTGGAATCGGGATCCAGTCTGAATTCTGGCATCAGATGGGACGATATCTGGCAAATTTAGTTCCTGAAGTTTAGGAGAGCATGTCCGGCCTCTCTGAAATAGATCACTGACAACTAAGGTCAATTGAAAGGTAGCTTCTGGCCACACCGTCTAAATTTGTATCTAAATAACAGCAAAGGAAGAAAGGGTAACCTTAACTTTTGACATCCTCATTGCAATGACAGCTTTGACACAACCCAAAATCGAGGCCCTCTCTTATTCCGGCACTAAATGAAATCTTATAATGCTACCTCCACTTCCTTCTCTTAATCGATTATATTGATCTTATTTATGATACCTAAGCGAATCAAAAGCCTAACCATATTGTCTTCGAATAGGTTTCTGTGCCACGTCTTGAAGTGTAAGCACGAGGTTGAGAAAAACGCACAAATCAATCATATCTATGTGGGCTTAAATGTTTTCTCCAATGATTTCGCCGGCTTAACAATGATTTTAAAGAGACTTTAATTTTAAATCTGTCTGTTTATATAAAGTCGAGCTAAGGGTAATCTAGGACTTAGATGAAAGATAAATCAAAATATAACTAACTGTGACCTTGTACTTAGATAAAAGATAACACAAAGTAGAGCTAAAGTAGATCTAGGACTAAAATGAAAGATAAGACAAAGTAGAGCTAAGGTAGATCTAGGACAAAAATGAAAGATAAGACAAATTAGAGCTAAGGGTAATATAGGACTAAAATGAAAGATGAGACAAAGTAGAGCTAAGCGTGATCTAGGACTAAAATGAAAGATAAGACAAAGTAGAGCTAATGGGTAATATAGGACTAAAATGAAAGATAAGACAAAATAGAGCTAAGGGTAATATAGGAATTGGTTGAACGTTAAAATAAAGTAAAATAAAATTAACAGTAAAATACCCAAAATGATCGAAAAAATAATAATTTAAAAACATATCTTTAAAAAAAAAATTACTAACAATTCAATACATTTTTAAGCACTCGGTACACCACGTTAAATAGTTTACCAAGACGTAATAGGTAAACAAAAGTGTACCTTTTTTTCAGAATCAAGATTGCTGCTGCAGGTTTGTCGATTTTCGCAGCCGTGGCATATTTAAGAAGAAAGAATGGCTTAGAAGAACAGAGATCTCAAAAATACTACCTCCATGCCGCTGTGGCGGCTGATACTTCGCTAGCCTCCAGCGTTGGAAGGTACGTCAAACATCCGTCTTTGTAAGTCATGTGTTGGATGGTACGTCAAACATCCATCATTGTAAGTCATGTGTTGGATGGTACGTCAAACATCCGTCATTGTAAGTCATGTGTTGGATGGTACGTCAAACATAAGTCATTGTAAGTCATGTGTTGGAAGGTACGTCAAACATCCGTCATTGTAAGTCATGTGTTGGAAGGTACGTCAAACATCCGTCATTGTAAGTCATGTGTTGGATGGTACGTCAAACGTCCGTCATTGTAAGTCATGTGTTGGAAGGTACGTCAAACATCCGTCATTGTAAGTCATGTGTTGGATGGTACGTCAAACGTCCGTCATTGTAAGTCATGTGTTGGAAGGTACGTCAAACTTCCGTCTTTGTAAGTCATGTGTTGGATTGGTACGTCAAAAATCCGTCAATGTAAGTCATGTGTTGGAAAATACGTCAAACATCCGTCATTTAAGTCATGTGTTGGATGGTAAGTCAAACATCTGTCTTTGTAAGTCATGTGTTGGATGGTACGTCAAACGTCCGTCTTTGTAAGTCATGTGTTGGATTGGTACGTCAAACATCCGTCATTGAGAGTCATGTGTTGGAAAGTACGTCAAACATCCGTCATTGTAAGTCATGTGTTGGATGGTACGTCAAACATCCGTCATTGTAAGTCATGTTTTGGATGGTACGTCAAACGTCCGTCATTGTAAGTCATGTGTTGGAAAATACGTCAAACATCCGTCATTGTAAGTCATATATTGGATGGTAAGTCAAACATCCGTCTTTGTAAGTCATGTGTTGGATGGTACGTCAAACGTCCGTCATTGTAAGTCATGTGTTGGATGGTACGTCAAACGTCCGTCATTGTAAGTCATATGTTGGATGGTACGTCAAACGTCCGTCATTGTAAGTCATGTGTTGGAAGGTACGTCAAACATCCGTCTTTGTAAGTCATGTGTTGGATTGGTACGTCAAACATCCGTCATTGAGAGTCATGTGTTGGAAAGTACGTCAAACATCCGTCATTGTAAGTCATGTGTTGGATGGTACGTCAAACATCCGTCATTGTAAGTCATGTTTTGGATGGTACGTCAAACGTCCGTCATTGTAAGTCATGTGTTGGAAAGTACGTCAAACATCCGTCATTGTAAGTCATATGTTGGATGGTACGTCAAACGTCCGTCATTGTTTTTCTTGTGCCGGGAGGTACGTCAAACATCCGTCATTGTAAGTCATGTGTTGGATGGTACGTCAAACATCCGTCATTGTAAGTCATGTGTTGGATGGTACGTCAAACATCCGTCATTGTAAGTCATGTATTGGATTGGTACGTCAAACATCCGTCATTGTAAGTCATGTGTTGGATGGTACGTCAAACGTCCGTCATTGTTTTTCATGTGCTGGGAGGTACGTCAAATCTTAGTCATGTGTTTAATTGGTTCGTCAAACATCCGTCTTTGTAAGTCATGTGTTGGAAAGTACGTCAAACATCCGTCATTGTTTTTCATGTGCTGGGAGGTACGTGAAACATCCGTCATTGTAAGTCATGTGTTGGATGGAACGTCAAACATCCGTCATTGTAAGTCATGTGTTGGATTGGTACGTCAAACAATCATCATTGTAAGTCATGTGTTTGAAGGTACGTCAAACATCCGTCATTGTAAGTCATGTGTTGGAAAGTACGTCAAACATCCGTCATTGTTTTTCATGTGTTGGAAGGTACGTCAAACATCAGTCATTGAAAGTCATGTGTTGGAAGGTACGTCAAACATCCGTCCATCCGTCATTGTAAGTCATGTGTTGGATGGTACGTCAAACATCCGTCATTGTAAGTCATGTGTTGGATGGTAAGTCAAACATCCGTCATTGTTTTTCATGTGCTGGGAGGTACGTCAAATGTTAGTCATGTGTTTAATTGGTTCGTCAAACATCCGTCTTTGTAAGTCATGTGTTGGAAAGTACGTCAAACATCCGTCATTGTTTTTCATGTGCTGGGAGGTACGTCAAACATCCGTCATTGTAAGTCATGTGTTGGAAGGTACGTCAAACATCCGCCATCGTAAGACATGTGTTGGAAGTTAATTCAAACATCCGTCATTTTTTTCATGTGCTGGGAGGTACGTCAAATGTTAGACATGTGTTGGATTGGTACGTCAAACATCCGTCATTGTAAGTCATGTGCTGGGAGGTACGTCAAATGTTAGTCATGTGTTGGATGGTACGTCAAACGTCCGTCATTGTTTTTCATGTGCTGGGAGGTACGTCAAATGTTAGTCATGTGTTGGATTGGTACGTCAAACATCCGTCATTGTAAGTCATGTGTTGGAAGGTACGTCAAACATCCGTCTTTTTAAGTCATGTTTTGGAAATTACGTCAAACATCCGTCATTGTAAGTCATGTGTTGGAAGGTACGTCAAACATCCGTCATTGTAAGTCATGTGTTGGATTGGTACGTCAAACATAAGTCATTGTAAATCATATGTTGGATTGGTACGTCAAACATCCGTCATTGTAAGTCATGTGTTGTATTGGTACGTCAAACATCCGTCATTGTAAGTCATGTGTTGCATTGCTACGTCAAACATCCGTCCTTGTAAGTATTGTGTTGGATTGGTACATCAAACATCCGTCATTGTAAGTCATGTGTTGGATTGGTACGTCAAACATCCGTCTTTGTAAGTCATGTGTCGGAAGGTACGTCAAACATCCGTCATTGTAAGTCATGTGTTGGATGGTACGTGAAACATCCGTCCATCCGTCTTTGTAAGTCATGTGTTGGATGGTACGTCAAACATCCGTCATTGTAAGTCATGTGTTGGAAGGTACGTCAAACATCCGTCATTGTTTTTCATGTGCTGGGATGTACGTCAAATCTTAGTCATGTGTTTAATTGGTTCGTCAAACATCCGTCTTTGTAAGTCATGTGTTGGAAAGTACGTCAAACATCCGTCATTGTTTTTCATGTGCTGGAAAGGTACGTCAAATGTTAGTCATGTGTTTAATTGGTTCGTCAAACATCCGTCTTTGTAAGTCATGTGTTTGAAGGTACGTCAAACATCCGTCATTGTAAGTCATGTGTTGGAAGGTACGTCAAACATCCGTCATTGTAAGTCATGTGTTGGAAGGTATGTCAAACATCCGTCATTGTAAGTCATGTGTTGGAAGGTACGTCAAACTTCCGTCATTGTAAGTCATGTGTTGGATGGTAAGTCAAACATCCGTCATTGTAAGTCATGTGTTGGAAGGTACGTCAAACATCCGTCATTGTAAGTCATGTGGTGGAAGGTACGTCAAACATCTGTCATTGTAAGTCATGTGTTGGAAGGTACGTCAAACATCCGTCATTGTAAGTCATGTGTTGGAAAGTGCGTCAAACATCCGCCATTGTAAGTCATGTGTTGGATGGTAAGTCAAACATCCGTCATTTTTTTCATGTGCTGGGAGGTACGTCAAATGTTAGTCATGTGTTGGATGGTACGTCAAACATCCGTCTTTGTAAGTCATGTGTTGGAAAGTACGTCAAACATCCGTCATTGTAAGTCATATGTTGGATTGGTACGTCAAACATTCGTCATTGTAAGTCATGTGTTGGATTGGTACGTCAAACATCCGTCATTGTAAGTCATGTGTTGGAATTCATATCAATTGAACGTTATTTTTTATCTGGATCTTAATGATAAAATGATGAGACAAACAAGTGATTATTTGTGTTTTGTTAGGAAGTAAGACTAATGATTATGGAAGCAAGTCAGACCAATTGTTATGTCAGAATAATAGACTATTTTTTAAGTGAAGAAGACTAATGGATATGTGATAAAGAAAGACTAGTAGTTATGTTATGAAGTTAGACTGATTGTAATGTGAGGAATTTAGACTAATTTAAACTGTGATTTTCATTAATGTTCAACGTATGTCTTATTAATATGTTTTTGTTGCTTGAACTTCTTTTAGTTATCTATTGTAATTTTTTTCAGTTCTTTTGCCATTCTTTCAGTTCTCTTGTCATTCTTTCAGTTCTTTTGTCATTATTTCAGGTCTATAATCATTCTTTCAGTTCTATTGTTTGTCATTCTTTCAGTTCTTTTGCCATTCTTTCAGTTCTCTTGTCATTCTTTCAGTTCTATTGCCCTTGTTTCAGTTTATTTCCATTCTTTCAGTTCTATTGTCATTCTTTCAGGTCTATAGTTATTCTTTCACGTCTATAGTCATTCTATCAGTTCTATTGTCATTCTTTCAGTTCTATTGCCCTTGTTTCAGTTTATTGCCATTCTTTCAGTTCTATTGTCATTCTTTCAGGTCTATAGTCATTCTTTCAGGTCTATAGTCATTCTTTCAGTTCTATTGTCATTCTTTCAGTTCTTTTGCCATTCTTTCAGTTCTCGTGTCATTCTTTCAGTTTTATTGCCCTTCTTTCAGTTTCTTGCTATTCTTTCAGTTCTATTGTCATTCTTTCAGGTCTATAGTCATTCTTTCAGGTCTATAGTCATTCTTTCAGTTCTGTTGTCATTCTTTCAGTTCTTTTGCCATTCTTTCAGTTATCTTGTCATTCTTTCAGTTTTATTGCCCTTCTTTCAGTTTCTTGCCATTCTTTCAGTTCTATTGTCATTCTTTCAGGTCTATAGTCATTCTTTCAGGTCTATAGTCATTCTTTCAGTTCTATTGTCATTCTTTCAGTTCTTTTGCCATTCTTTCTCTTCTCTTGTCATTCTTTCAGTTCTATTGCCCTTCTTTCAGTTTATTGCCATTCTTTCAGTTTATTGTCATTCTTTCAGTTCTATTGTCATTCTCTCAGTTCCCGCCGACATGCATTTAGTCAAATAAAATAATCTAAGATAACTGTGTCTCCATCTTTACAGAGACATCTTGTTAAAAGGTGGCAATGCTGTGGACGCCGCCATTGCAGCCATGCTATGTTCCGGGCTGACCAGTCCACAGTCTATGGGCATAGGAGGTGGATTCTTCATGACATTTTATAGAAGGTTGTCTTTTGTCATGACAGTTTATAGAAGGTTGTCTTTTGTCATGACAGTTTATAGAAGGTTGTCTTTTGTCATGACAATTTATAGTAATTTACTTATTATTATTATTTTTTACAGGTCATAGAAAAAAAATAATATAATATATAGATTGTTGGTTTGGTTTCGAGATATATAGAAGGGTATTTTTTCATTTAAAATGGTATAGTAGGTTGGGGTATAATTTATTGAACAAAGTAATTACGTCAGTAGTTAGTCGATGAGGTTTTAATAACTAATTTATAATTGTACTCAAGGCTTTCCACACAGCGATACATTCCCCGCGATTGCAGATTGAAATGTATGAAGTAAGGGCATAATGATATAGTAATAACAATTGAGTTGGGCTATCATTACAACAGTGGATGTGTGATATCATAAAAAAAGTGGATGTGTGATATCATTACAACAGTGGAGGTGTGATATCATTACAACAGTGGATGTGTGCTATCATTACGACTGTGGATGTGTGCTATCATTACAACAATGGATGTGTGCTATCATTACAACATTGGATGTGTGCCATATTACAACAGTGGATAATAATAATAATAATAATAATAAAGTTTATTTGAAAAACACGATTCATCCCCAAAAGCTCAAAGCACGGTACAAAGTAAACTATAATTAAAATTAAAATAAAAATAAAAACAATCTAAAATTTACCACATTTTAAAAAAAATGATGCAACAATGTAAAACTCCATACGAGCATACCAAGTCAAAGTCTTTCATTCCGTTTCAACACAAGCCAATATACATTAACTGAAAAAGATGGTAGATAGCATCACCCCAAAAGGTGTTTGCGAAATAGATGTGTTTTTAAATCGGTTCTAAGGGACTCCAGTGTCTGGCTGTTTCTGAGAGCGACTGGAAGGGCGTTCCAAATTGTTGGGCCGGCAAATGCAAAAGTGCGCTTTCTGTAAGTCTCAAGGCGAACACACGGTATCGATATTTTACCACTATAGGATGAGTGGAGCTCTCTAGTGGGTACATAAGGCGTCATGAGCGCTTTGAGATAGGACGGCGCCAGGTCATGTAAGCAGCGGTAGCACAAAGTTGCAATTTTGTACTCTATGCGAGCACGCACCGGCAGCCAGTGCAACTCTATCAGAAGTGTTTTTGCATGGTCGAATTTGTGTTTGCGAAGAACAATGCGAGCCGCATTATTCTGTGCTCTTTGAATTTTATCCAGGAGCGTAGCTGGGAGACCCACCTTGAGAGCATTGCAGTAGTCCATTCGTGATAACACAAATGCAGTCATTAGCCTCTTTGTGGCATCTAACGTTAAGAAAGGTCTGATATGACTAATCCTGTGCAGCTTTAGGAAAATTGCCTTGCAAAGCATGTTATATGATTTTCCATATTTAGTGTTCTGTCTAAATAGACACCTAGGTCTCGCACTGTATGAGCAAACTCAATCTGCATACCTGAGAGAGTAAGTGATTTTGTGTTTTTCACAGATTTTTGTTTCTGAGCAGTGGGAATGGGGATCAGCTCAGTCTTTTCATCATTCAATTTGAGCTTGTTTATGGTCATCCAGTGCTTAACTGAATCCACTGTCTTCTGTGTCGTACTAAGAAGTTGAAGGAACTGAGAGGGGATCACGGATTGATGAAGTTGTGTATCGTCCGCGAAGATGTGATACAGCATGTCAAATTGCTTGATCACTGCACCCAGTGGCTGAACGTACATAGTGAAAAGCATAGGGCCTAGGACCGAGCCCTGCGGTACTCCGAATTCAATTATACATTACTTCAACGTCAAGCCGTTTGAAATAACTGACTGGACCCAATTTGTCAGATACGAGTGAAACCATCTCAGGACGGTATCTGTGAGACCGAACGTTTTTTGCAGACGCTTGAGTAGTATGCCGTGGTCAAGTGTATCGAAAGCTGCCGAAAAATAGAGTAAAGACAAAATGGATGCCTGGCCCTCATCACAAGACGACAGAAGGTTGTTTGTGACGCACAACAGGGCTGTCCCAGTAGAGTGGTGCGCCCTGTATGCTGACTGGAAAGGTTCAAACAAGTCATATTGAATGAGGTGATCCAGGAGTTGGCGGAGAACGACTTTTTCCTAAGATGTTGGGTATAAATGGTAGATTTGAGATGGGGCGATAACTTTCCATCACATTTGGGTCAAGATTTGATTTCTTTAACAGTGGCGTTACTATTGCCTCTTCAAAATATCTTGGAACAAACCAGTTGTCAAGGACTTAATTTATGATACAAATGTTGATGGGGACTATTTCATCCAGACATTCATACAACAGCCTTGTTGGAAGAGGGTCGAGTGAGCATGACTTTCTCGGGGTATTAGCCACGATTTTCCTCACATTCGATTCACTGATCTCAACAAATTCACCCACAGGAGAGCCGTTGAAGAGTGAGAATTCTTGAGCAGTAGCGATGCAACTGTCAAGTTTCGCCCTGATCTACTTGGCTTTTGTAATAAAGTAGTCATTTAGAGCGTCTGGCAGCTCTTCTACAGCAATGTTATTTGGCAGAGATGTGGCCTTGTTTATACCGGTCAGCTAACCCACAATGCGAAATAAGTCCTGGTTTGAGCTGCTGCCTGTAATCTGATGACTAACATCTAGCTGGAAGGAACAACCTCTTGGTTCGTTCCCTGTGGTCAACAAAGATTTGCCGTTGCACAGTCAAGCCCGACTTCCGTCATTGGCGTTCTGCAAGTCGCTGTTTCTGCTTAGCGTACTTAATTTCGGGCGTGAGCCTTGGGGCGGAAGGGCGGTCCGTAACTCACCGTGTGGACAGTGGTGCATGTTTGTCTAAAATGACTCTGAGGCCACTGTTGTAGTCTGTAGCAGCGTCATCTTCACTGCACTCAAGGGCTGCGACGCCACATCTAAAGGCCGCTAGATCTATATGTCAGAGGTCACGGGATGTTACTGAGCGCAGAAGGCGTCCTGGCTTCCTCAAGTCAAAGTCGAAGGCGACTGGGAAGTGATCAGAAATAAGTTTGTCCTCAATAATGAAGTTGCGGATCATTGCTGCGCGGTCTTCTCTGACAACAACCAATCTAGGATTTGGCCTCGCTTCTGCGTCGGGACACTGACAAGCTGCGTCATTCAGTGCGTGTCGAGAGCTGATTTTAGGGTCTTCACGTAGCTGTCGGTGGTGGAGTCGAAATGGCAGTTTATGTCGCCGATTATAATGACATTGTTGTTGCGTACATGTCAAGGATTTTATAAACTCCACAGTAAACTGACAGATCTTCAACTTATTTTGCTTATTTGGAGGTGGCCTGTTTATGCACAGAAACTTCATCGCTTGTTCACCGTAATTAAGTTGCATTTTGCACATTTCAAATGAAACAAACTCGTCCAATTTTGAGAAGGCCAAACTATTTTTAAGGGAGTTCCTGTAAAGGACGGCAATACCACCACCACTGCGCGACTGCCGTGGGCAAGAGTGAAGGACGTAGTACGGACGTGTAATTTCTTGAAGCTTCACCTCATCTCCGACACGTTTAAACCACGTCTCGGTAATGAACACAAGGTCGGCCCTGCTCTCCAAGACAAGATCACACACCTCGGCCGTCTTATTCCTGCAGGACTGGGAGTTGAAATATAGCACTCCGAAATGCCGTGATTGCGGCTTCACAGCAGGCTGGCAGTCAACAACTATTAAATTTGATCGCGTCACGGCCCGACGAGGCGGTGTGACATCATGAGCCACCGGCCGTGCTCTTGGGATTGATACGTAGGGAATGGTCGTGATGGATGACACAGTATGTGGCTGATTTCCGTCGTTACTGACAGCCTCGTTTAAAGGCTTGACATGACGATCTCCACAAGCAATACTGTTGACATGGCTTTGGCCATGGTGGTATTTCAGTGGACGCTGTTTCCGACGAACATCTCGATACAGACGCTTCTTCTTTCGTCGTGCGCCAACTTTCCGTCCACCACTACGATGGGTACGCTTACGGGGCAGGCCTCGACCGATGCAGAGTTCTATCAGTCGATACACCAAATGGGAGTCGCTTAGTCACTTCCTTGTTTTGTCACGTGATGAGAGTAAGCCATCACTAGGCTGCAACACACTCTAAAAGATAACAGCTGATCTGCCATTAATTTTTAAGAAAAATGTTCGTCTTCATCAGTGCTTCCCCAATGTCATGTTACCTAAAAATTTTACCTTTCAAAATATTCTGGCAAACACTTGTTTATTTTAATGAAATATATAAATGTGACCATAAATATACGTCAGTTATGATTAAAGGAAGAAAATTATTTCAAGAAAAATGTGTGAGCGATATTCGATGGGAACTTGAGCTCCGTGCCCATGACGTCATTTTCGTGTTTAATATATGTGCAAGAGTCATTCCTCTTTATTTTATTGTTAATTTTCATTGGACGAAATGTCGGCATACCCAATGACGTCATTTGCGTGTTTATTCAATAGGAAGGAATATTTTAATAACCGGTTGGAACAAGATTTCATGTGAATAATTAACGAAGGTCCACTTTGTCAAGCAATTGTCTTAAAGTTTTTTTATCCTTAAGCGGAAACTTATTCAGACTTATACCGCTGTCCTTAACTTGACTGTTTGAACAGCCAAGAGCCGAACATTGCCTAGGTATCTTGTAGTGTGTAACGGGCTACTGTTGTCAAGCCCTAGTGTGTTGCATAGAGCCTACCGGAAGTCTTACTCATATTTACTCTCATCACGTGACAAAACAATTGACTAAGCGACTCCCATCAGCAGTCAAGAGTATGCGTTTGACATTAATTGACAATAATCGATCACGTGAGTACATCAACCGGGACGTGTCGCCAAGCGTATCATTAGCTTGCATGAGCAATGATTTTGATGACAGCTAAGATGGCCGACTACGCAAAGAAAACAGGAACACATATAAAATTAAAATATGATCAAGAGCTTGATTCTATACATGCCTGTAAGGCGTAGTCTCAAGCTTAAGACAACTTTGACTTCCCCAAAATTAAATTTTGTAATTTTGATAATCATTACACAGTTTCTTCTTGATTTGTGTACAATGTCGGCATTCAAAACTTAAAAGGCCGCCATCTTGTTGCTAGCCGGAAGTTATATATATCATTAAAACAATTGTTGTGTGCTATCATTACAACAATGGAGGTGTGCTATCATTACAACAATGGATGTGGGCTATCATTACAACCATGGATGTGTGCTATCATGACAACAATGGATGTGGGCTATCATTACAACCATGGATGTGTGCTATCATGACAACAGTGGATGTGTGATATCATTACGACGGTGCTATGTGTGCTATCATGACAACAGTTGATGTGTGATATCATTACAACAGTGAATGTGTGCTATCATTACAACAATGGATGTGTGCTATCATTACAACCATGGATGCGTGCTATCATGACAACAGTTGATGTGTGATATCATTACAACAATGTGTTAGTAGCAAAATCTGTCCATTTATTGTAATTAAGGTTTTTTTTAGGGTAAAAATTAATATTAATAATGATACTTCTTGTAAGTTGAAATGTACACGTTCTGGTATACCGCATGCATCTTGTTGACATTGTCTCCCCAGAAATTATTCTTCATCAGGTTACAAAATTATAATATAAGGTCGTATTTAAAAAAAAATTGTTTTGTATTTAAGCATTAAATAAAATCGGTCTACATAAATCACTGACAGGTTTTGGAAATGTTATTACATTTAGGGTTTTACTTTATTTCTGATGATCTAACCTCTTGCAGACATGACGGCTTTTCCACCACCATAGATGCCAGAGAAACAGCCCCGGAGCGGGCAACGGAGAACATGTTTGTAGGGAACTCTAAATCTTCATCTGAAGGTAATTGAACAAATGAAACGACCAAGAAGAAAAATAGCAAGAAGAACAACATTGTGAATTGACGTCTTAAAGGAAATATTGGGTCTGCTAATGGTGGTCTTGGATCTGCTAATGGTGGTCGAGATTAAATTCAGAGTACATCGGACTCTTGCGTACGCTTTTAATACACTTATACACTTGAACACTTATATCTCCTGACAACCCCCCCTCCCCTATCTCAACAATTTATAATGGTGTAGCTGTGTTAAGCTTGACAATTTTTGCTTACAAAAAAAGCCTGTATACTATTTTTCTTAGGGCCTTAACATGTACACACGAAAATTTCTAATTGCTTTACATTTTCTAGCTGTTTGATACAAATTTTTTTTTTTTCTTTTTTTTTTTTTTTTGTTGTTTTTTTTTTTTTTTTTTTTTTTTTTTTACATTTTAAGACCGACTTTACCGACCCTCAAAAAATTTTTTTTNAGCCTTAGAGTTCTGGCATGGCGCGGACACCAGCGCATAAGTCGCCTGTCTCACAGAGCCTTAGAGTTCTGGCATGGCGCGGACACCAGCGCATAAGTCGCCTGTCTCACAGAGCCTTAGAGTTCTGGCATGGCGCGGACACCAGCGCATAAGTCGCCTGTCTCACAGAGCCTTAGAGTTCTGGCATGGCGCGGACACCAGCGCATAAGTCGCCTGTCTCACAGAGCCTTAGAGTTCTGGCATGGCGCGGACACCAGCGCATAAGTCGCCTGTCTCACAGAGCCTTAGAGTTCTGGCATGGCGCGGACACCAGCGCATAAGTCGCCTGTCTCACAGAGCCTTAGAGTTCTGGCATGGCGCGGACACCAGCGCATAAGTCGCCTGTCTCACAGAGCCTTAGAGTTCTGGCATGGCGCGGACACCAGCGCATAAGTCGCCTGTCTCACAGAGCCTTAGAGTTCTGGCATGGCGCGGACACCAGCGCATAAGTCGCCTGTCTCACAGAGCCTTAGAGTTCTGGCATGGCGCGGACACCAGCGCATAAGTCGCCTGTCTCACAGAGCCTTAGAGTTCTGGCATGGCGCGGACACCAGCGCATAAGTCGCCTGTCTCACAGAGCCTTAGAGTTCTGGCATGGCGCGGACACCAGCGCATAAGTCGCCTGTCTCACAGAGCCTTAGAGTTCTGGCATGGCGCGGACACCAGCGCATAAGTCGCCTGTCTCACAGAGCCTTAGAGTTCTTGCATGGCGCGGAAACCAGCGCATAAGTCGCCTGTCTCACAGAGCCTTAAAGTTCTTGCTCACATGATATTTACAAATCCTCCGATGCATTCTTCATCTTAAGTTTATATCCAGATCCCCCCTTTTAATATACAGAGATATTTCTATCCACGCCCTGAATATGTAGAGTTTTCTCTATCCACATCCACACTAATATCCAGAGATTTCTCTATACCCTTCCACACCCTTGATATCCAGATATATATCTATCCACATCCACACCCTTGATATCCAGAGATTTCTCTATCCACATCCACACCCTTGATATCCAGAGATTTCTCTATCCACATCCACACCCTTGATTTCCAGAGATTTCTCTATCCACATCAACACCCTTGATATCCAGAAATTTCTCTATCCACATCCACACCCATGATATCCCGAGCTTTCTCTTTCCACATCCACACCCATGATATCCCGAGATTTCTTTATCCACATCCACACCCATGATATCCCTAGATTTCTCTATCCACATCCACACCCATGATATGCCGAGATTTCTTTATCCACATCCACAACCATGATATCCCGAGGTTTCTCTTTCCACATCCACACCCATGATATCCCTACATTTCTCTATCCACATCCACACCCATGATATGCCGAGATTTCTTTATCCACATCCACACCCATGATATCCCGAGATTTCTTTATCCACATCCACACCCATGATATCCCGAGGTTTCTTTATCCACATCCACACCCATGATATCCCGAGATTTCTTTATCCACATCCATGCCCATGATATCCCGAGGTTTCTCTTTCCACATCCACACCCATGATATCCCTAGATTTCTCTATCCACATCCACACCTTCCACACCCATGATATCCCGAGCTTTCTCTTTCCACATCCACACCCATGATATCCCGAGATTTCTTTATCCACATCCACACCCATGATATCCCTAGATTTCTCTATCCACATCCACACCCATGATATCCCGAGATTTCTTTATCCACATCCATGCCCATGATATCCCGAGGTTTCTCTTTCCACATCCACACCCATGATATCCCTAGATTTCTCTATCCACATCCACACCCATGATATCCCGAGGTTTCTCTTTCCACATCCACACCCATGATATCCTGAGATTTCTTTATCCACATCCACACCCATGATATCCCTAGATTTCTCTATCCACATCCACACCCATGATATCCCGAGGTTTCTCTTTCCACATCCACACCCATGATATCCCTAGATTTCTCTATCCACATCCACACCCATTATATCCCGAGATTTCTCTATCCACATCCACACCCATGATATCCCTAGATTTCCCGTGATATCCATAGATTTCAAATGTCCATTCCGTCTCACAGGCCCACTGAGCATAGCGGTTCCAGGCGAAATCAAAGGATACTGGGCTGTTCATAAAAAATATGGGAGACTCCCGTGGAAGGAACTATTTCAGCATGCCATTAAAATGGCTGAAGAAGGGTTTGCTGTTCCTGCAGGACTTGATAAGGCCATACAAGACGCTGAGCAGGATCTGCTTCTAGAGCCATCATTCAAGTAAGTGTCAACATTTTTCAAAGAAATTGCGTTCAATTAAATAAATATCCCGAAAAGAATATTTAATGCAACAAATGTCACTGAAGGGAGATTCAATGAACAAAAACAAAAAAACTAACATGAGTAGCAGTGGCTTATGAGAAGTGGGGTGGGGAGGGGGGTTAAATGGGGGGAGGGGAGGTGTTAACCCCAGGAAGTATTTTTATTTTTAATGGCAATATTTTTTGGCTAATTGCTAAGTTTTATTTTTAGTTTGTATGTGTGTGTGTGTTGAATGGGTGGCAAAACGCTTGCCCGTCCACTGCTTGCACAACCCTAGTTACACCACTAGTATTTGATTTGGCATTCTTCTTGTTAATTGCTAAAGAATCAGACGTCTGCTTCAGCCAAACCATTGGGCTCATTAATGCGCACTCATCTATAAAGAAAGCATTGGTCATCAATGATCTTATCACTGAGAAGTCTATTAACATTATTATTATCACGGAGACATGGCTTCATGAGGGTGGTGATGAACCAGCAATGCGAGACATGACCCCTGCAATGAGAGACATGACCCCAGCAATGAGAGACATGACCCCAGCAATGAGAGACATGACCCCTGCCGGCTACGCTTTTTTCATCGTCCTCGGTCTTCTGGTCAAAGTGGTGGGAGGGTGGCTGTGATCCATCGATCCTCCATTACTGTGAGACTGTGTAATCAATATACTTTAGCTTCTTTTGAGAGTTTAAGGCTTGTAATTTCTCACGGCAAAGAGACGGTACGAACTGTCGCTCTATACAGACCTCCACCTTCTGCTTAAAAGAAGCTCAAAGACAGCACGTTTCATGAGGACTTGGGGAAAACTTGTAACCTCTATTGACAACAAAAATCTACTCATCTTAGGTGACTTTAATTTTCACTGGGATTATCAACGTTGCAGGAATATTCGCCTTCTTACACAGTTGTTTGACTCTGCTAATTTAGTTCAGCATGTTTCTGTACCAACGCATAGGGGGGGGGGGTTATGTCTTGGACTGGGTTCTATCAAGATCCGACAAAGAGCTATTAATTCAGTCTGTGAATGTGGACGATATTCTATTGTCTGATCACTTCCTTGTGTGGTTTACAACAAATATGGCTAGGCCTCTTGCTCAGGTGGAGAAAATTCAAGTGATGAACTTAAAGAAGATGGATATTGATTCTTTTCTGGATTGTCTTTCTGAGACTGCACCACCTGAAGATATCGCCCTTCTCTACAATCGGACTCTCATTTCTCTGTTGGACACATATGCCCCAGGGTCAAATAAATTTGTTAGTGACAGATCTAACTCCTCTTGGTTCACTCCCACAGTTCGGAAAGCCAAGCTTGTTAGACGTGTAGCTGAGAAGCTGTTGGAGAAGGAGTGGCCGTGAACTTCTGGAAAAACTATCATCTCTGAAAGCACGCAACATGAATGCCGAAGAAATCAGGCACGCAAAGTCTGATCATGTTCAATCTTTCCTTATGGCGGCAGGTACTGATTCTCAAAAGATGTTCTCTGTGTCGAATGATCTTCTTGGGAAGAAATCAGCACCTCTCGTTTTGCCTGACTTGAGAAGCGATAAAGCTGCCGTTAAACTGCGTGATTTTTTCTCTGAAAAAATTGAAACAAACAGAAGGAGCTTTGGGGAACGTTGTGATTTGTCTACGGTGGAAAAAGTCATTGAAGGCAAACATCAGGAGGAATTTTCCCCCGTTTCCCATGAAAAATTAAGAAATATAATCATGGCATCTAGACCTACATGTCTATTGTTGACCCCATCCCAAACAAGATTGTTTTGGTCTGTCTGGAAGTCTTGCTTCCTGTACTGGTAAACATCGTCAATATTAGCCTTCAATCTGCTACAGTTCAAAGTCTCTTCAAGACAGTGTGGTCTTTAAGCTTCTGCTGAAAAAAAAAACTGATTTAGGCCCAAAGGACTGCAATAATTTTCGCCCGGTCTCCAACCTGCCCTTTGTATCTAAGATTCTTGAGAGAGTTGTGTCACAGCAGCTTGTGCAGCATCTTAACACTTATGACTTGCTTGACAAGTTTCAATCTGCATATCGAACCTGGCACAGCTGTGAGACAGCATTACTTCGTTTTATGAATGATGTTCTTTGTAGTGCTGACCGTGGGGATCTGACAATAATTTTGTTTCTGTTGGATCTCAGTGCTACCTTTGATATGATCGACCATGAGCTTCTTCTGTCAAGACTTCTGAATGTGGCAGGCATTACTGTAACTGCATTCCACTGGTTTTCTTCTTATCTGACTGACAAGACTCAGCATATTGTAGTGAGGCAAGCGTCTTCCATGGACACGTCCGTTACCCGCAGTGTGCCACAGGGCTCAGTTTTAGGACCTATGCTGTTCTCCATGTACACTAGCCAGCTTGGCAGAATTATTGAACGCCATGGTATTTCCCGCAAAATATTTGCAGATGACCCATAACTATACAAGTGTTTCCGCCCTGCTCCCTTGGAGTGTGCTACTGCTGTTCAGGCTGTCGAGGATTGCTGTCTTGCTGTGAAAGATTGGATGTCATCAAACAGACTAAAATTAAATGATGATAATACTGATGCAATTATTTTTGGTTCAGACACCAATCTTCGGAAATTTGCCATTGCATCAATAAAAGTTGGTGAATCAGAGATCCTGTTGTCCTCAACTATCAGAGACCTTGACTTTTATATTGACAGAAAACTTAGTATGATTCCCCATATCAGTTCTGTTGTCAAGGTATGCTTTTGTCATCTACGTCCTCAACTCAAAAGGAAAAAAGCCAATGCTGTCAAGATTAGATTACTGTAATAGTTGTTTGTTGGGTTTGCGCCAAAAGATACAACATTACTGCAGCACGCATTGTATCGCGGATGAAAAAATCTGACCACATCACCCCAGTTCTACGAGATCTCCATTGGGTTCCTGTGAGTGAGCGCATTAATTACAAAATTCTGTCCATGGCGTACAGCTGCATAGATGGCTCAGCACCGAAATATCATAAGGAACTGATTTATAAACATGTATCCGTGAAGAGCCTGCGGTCTTCATCACAATACTGGCTGAGTGTTCCTAGTGTGGATAAACACAGAAAAAAGTCGTAAAGAGTGCGCTCTTTTGAAGCGATAGCGCCAAAATTATGGAAAAGTTTGCCTTAATCTTTGAGAGGAATTGTAAATGATAAAAAATCATTTAAGAATCAATTAAAAACTTTTTTGTTTAAATAGATTTCGGAGGACCAGAACGCAGTGAGCAGGCTTAAGTGGCATGGATACCGGCGCGATAAGTGGCATGGATACCGGCGCGATAAGTGGCATGGATACCGGCACGATAGCAATATCAAATCAAATTTAAAAAAAAAAACACGAAATCATTCCTCGTTTGAAGACGTCTGCTTCAGCTCTCACGGAGAAGTTCACATGCGTTCTCTGTTTTTGTTAAATCTCCGTAGGCACGAATCTCTTCAACCCCACCCCCCACCACACCCCCGTCTTTCCCCGCCCACCCCCATTTCAATTCGTTCAATTTCTCCTGTGACAAGTATCCACCAATTTAATGGAGGTGTGTCGTGCCTGTGAAGCATCATTTTGATACAAGCTCCTTTGCTTACTGCCTTTTTTAAAGAAAGCGTAATCCTTACATAGATCAAGCCGGCACAACATACGGCCCGCGGGCCACATGCGGTCCTCCAGCATCCATTTTGCAGGCCTGCGAAGTAACGAAATATTCTTTTTTTTTTTTTTTTTTTTAAAACCCCCCCCCCCCCCCCAACTGTCCTCTTTTCTTTCAGCCCGCACAAGTTTTAGATAAAATGTTACGGCACGCCCTATATTTTAAGTCTTGCAGGCCTGGCATGCAACAAAGACAGTTTTAGTATTTTAAGCTATTAATTTATTATTTTAAGTTATCTCAAGGCGATACAAATATTTTTTTTTCCTCTTATTTGCAAGAAGACAACGTTTTCACGTTACAAACAATAAGTCGCGGTTTTAATGTTGTTTCCATCAGGCAAGTCTTTTTAAACAAGGAGACAGGAAAGCTCTACAGGGAAAATGAGATCATGACGAGACCACAGCTGGCCGAGACATTGAGGGTTATCGCTGATGAAGGAGCCAACGCATTCTATAACGGTTCTCTGACTGATCAAATTGTGGATGACCTTAAAGACATGGGTAAGCACAGTATAGCTATAGACCTTAAGGTCTAAGGGCTACTAGTTAATCGCTAAATTCCTTTTTACATAATATAATTGAAGCTTTCAACTTAAAATGTGCTTTCCTTTAGCTTTGACACAGTTACCCATATCTTAAAGTGCATGTTTACCATGCAATAAATTGGACACTTCACTAGTTGACAAAAAAAAATGTTTCTAAAAGAACAAATATGTTGGTTTAATTTTAAAAGAAAAATGCAGAATAATTGTACACACATAGCTTCAATGTTAGGCATATTCGTGACGTCATTTGCTCACAGAATTCGCTGTGGACATGCAGCACATACGACTATTTAAAGAAGATTTTAAGAGCCCCAATATTGTGGTATACAAAAGTAGAATGATCTATCAACATTGAATGCAAGGAACAAAACACCGAAAAGTGGAGGTGAACCTTCCAAAGACAAGCAATTGCTTTGGATTTATCTCCACCTTCTCTGTCCTCTTAAGACTGTGATCTGTACGAACGATCAGCCTTGTGGCGGCTATATGCGATAAAAATACCAAACCAACACAAACACACAACTATGCAAACACACACACCACTCACAAACACACATAGCAAAAAACATATATATCAAAATATATATGAGATAGGTCAATGTTTTGTATATCTCAGGATCAATCATCACACGCAATGATTTCATCAACTATGAAGTCATTGAAAAGAAACCTCTAGAGATAACTCTCAATGGTGGAGTTAGAGTTATTTCCCCTCCCGCACCAAGTGGAGGCGCTGTGTTGTCTTTCATTTTAAACGTGTTAGATGGTGAGTCGATACGTGTGGTGATTAATATCTGTGTTTAATGTGCTCTAAAGTTCAATACCAAGTGTATTTCTATTCAATATCTTTAATTGAGTTAAACATCGTTAAATTGACCTTGTACATATTTATAAGACGGAGGGGGTAAGGGTGGTGGTTACTGCCCTTAAACCTTTTGCCTCTAACTTACTGCCCCTAACTTACTAGCTCTAACTTACTGCCCCTTACTTACTAGCTCTAACTTACTGCCCCTAACTTACTAGCTCTAAGTTACTGCCCCTACCTTACTAGCTCTAACTAACTGCCCCTACCTTACTAGCTCTAACCAACTGCCCCTATTTGACTAGATCTAACTTACTAGCTCTAACTTACTGCCCCTAAATTACTAGCTCTAAGTTACTGCCCCTACCTTTCTAGCTCTAACTTACTGCCCCTACCTTACTAGCTCCAACCAACTGCCCCTATTTGACTAGATTTAACTTACTGCCCCTAACTTACTACCTCTAAGTTACTGCCCCTACCTTACTAGCTCTAACTTACTGCCCCTACCTTACTAGCTCTAACTTACTGCTGCTAACTTACGGCTTTAACTTATTGCCGCTATCTATTCCCCTTAACTTATTGCCTGAAGCTTATGGCCCCTTAAAAGCCCATATGTCACTTAAGAATGATGAATTACTAAAGACCATAAGAATTGGAGAAGAGCAATAATGTTGTCACGAATAAATTAATCAACATTTTATCAAACATGAAAGTCGTCCATTTTATTTTGACTAAATATCATTCTAAATGTTTCACTTTAACATTTCATATTCTAAATGTTTCACTTTAACATTTCTTATAAAGTTTCTAGGGTTCAAAGTGCTAATTAAGTGTATAGGGGTCAAAGTGCTAATAAACTATCCAGGAATCAAAGTGCTAATAAAGCGTCCCGTGGTCACGTGCTAATACGATGTCCTGGGGTCAAAGTGTTACAGATATGCCCAGGGGTAAAAGTTCTAAGAATGTTCCATGGGTATTCATAGTACTAATAATTTTTCAGAAGTAAGTGTGCTAATAAAATGTCCAGGGGTCAAAGTGCAGGTAATTTTTTCTGGGTCGAAATAGTTGACATAGAATTATATATTGATTAAATTTAAAAAAAAGAAGTAATTATTGACGTATCTAAGATTCTGCTTGTATTAATGTGGTCTCTTGTCTCCATACATTGATGTAACACTCATGTTGTACTAATGTGGACTCTTGTCTCAATACATTGATGTAATACTAATGTTGTACTAATGTGGTCTCTTGCCTCCATACATTGATGTAATACTAATGTTGTACTAATGTGGTCTCTTGTCTCCATACATTGATGTAATACTAATGTTGTACTAATGTGGACTCTTGTCTCCATACATTGATGTAATACTAATGTTGTACTAATGTGGACTCTTGTCTCCATACATTGATGTAATACTAATGTTGTACTAATGTGGTCTCTTGCCTCCATACATTGATGTAATACTAATGTTGTACTAATGTGGGCTCTTGCCTCCATACATTGATGTAATACTAATGTTGTACTAACGTGGACTCTTGCCTCCATACATTGATGTAATACTAATGTTGTACTAATGTGGACTCTTGTCTCCATACATTGATGTAATACTAATGTTGTACTAATGTGGACTCTTGTCTCCATACATTGATGTAATACTCATGTTGTACTAATGTGATCTCTTGCCTCCATACATTGATGTAATACTAATGTTGTACTAATGTGGACTCTTGCCTCCATACATTGATGTAATACTAATGTTGTACTAATGTGGTCTCTTGCCTCCATATATTGATGTAATACTAATGTTGTACTAATGTGGTCTCTTGCCTCCATACATTGATGTAATACTAATGTTATACTAATGTGGACTCTTGCCTCCATACATTGATGTAATACTAATGTTGTAATAATGTGGTCTCTTGCCTCCATACAGTTGATGTTATACTAATGTTGTACTAATGTGGTCTCTTGCCTCCATACATTGATGTAATACTAATGTTATACTAATGTGGACTCTTGCCTCCATACATTGATGTAATACTAATGTTGTAATAATGTGGTCTCTTGCCTCCATACATTGATGTTATACTCATGTTGTACTAATGTGATCTCTTGCCTCCATACATTGATGTAATAGTAATGTTGTACTAATGTGGACTCTTGCCTCCATACATTGATGTAATTCTAATGTTGTACTAATATGGACTCTTGTCTCCATACAGTTGATGTAATACTAATGTTGTACTAATGTGGACTCTTGTCTCCATACATTGATGTTATACTAATGTTGTACTAATGTGGTCTCTTGCCTCCATACATTGATGTAATAGTAATGTTGTACTAATGTGGACTCTTGCCTCCATACATTGATGTAATTCTAATGTTGTACTAATATGGACTCTTGTCTCCATACATTGATGTAATACTAATGTTGTACTAATGTGTTCTCTTGCCTCCATACATTGATGTAATACTAATGTTGTACTAATGTGGACTCTTGCCTCCATACATTGATGTAATACTAATTTTGTACTAATGTGGACTCTTGTCTCCATACATTGATGTAATTCTAATGTTGTACTAATATGGACTCTTGTCTCCATACATTGATGTAATACTAATGTTGTACTAATGTGGTCTCTTGCCTCCATACATTGATGTAATACTAATGTTGTACTAATGTGGACTCTTGTCTCCATACATTGATGTAATACTAATGTTGTACTAATGTGGACTCTTGTCTCCATACATTGATGTTATACTAATGTTGTACTAATGTGGACTCTTGCATCCATACATTGATGTAATACTAATGTTGTACTAATGTGGACTCTTGCCTCCATACATTGATGTTATACTAATGTTGTACTAATGTGGACTCTTGCCTCCATACATTGATGTTATACTAATGTTGTACTAATGTGGACTCTTGTCTCCATACATTGATGTTATACTAATGTTGTACTAATGTGGACTCTTGCCTCCATACATTGATGTTATACTAATGTTGTACTAATGTGGACTCTTGCCTCCATACATTGATGTTATACTAATGTTGTACTAATGTGGACTCTTGTCTCCATACATTGATGTTATACTAATGTTGTACTAATGTGGACTCTTGTCTCCATACATTGATGTTATACTAATGTTGTACTAATGTGGACTCTTGTCTCCATACATTGATGTAATACTAATGTTGTACTAATGTGGACTCTTGTCTCCATACATTGATGTTATACTAATGTTGTACTAATGTGGTCTCTTGTCTCCATACATTGATGTTATACTAATGTTGTACTAATGTGGACTCTTGTCTCCATACATTGATGTTATACTAATGTTGTACTAATGTGGACTCTTGTCTCCATACATTGATGTTATACTAATGTTGTACTAATGTGGTCTCTTGTCTCCATACATTGATGTTATACTAATGTTGTACTAATGTGGACTCTTGTCTCCATACATTGATGTTATACTAATGTTGTACTAATGTGGTCTCTTGCCTCCATACATTGATTTAAAATAAAAACCAAAACATAGTCTTACAAAT